TCTGTGTTATTTAGAAAGTAATTTACGGATCAAACCAAAGTAGTTTGATCACCAAACGATAAAACCTTATTTCCGGAGAAATAGCGGCTTTTGTATTCCGGGATGACCTGGGGGACACGCGCGCTCATTTTTTCTTTCAGATGAAATTTCATGTTAACAATTTTGTTAAGAGGAAAATGGATGTTAAACAAAAGATCTTTGGTTTCTAGGGTGATCGAACGTCACAGACACTGGGTTTTTATGGTCAGCTCGAGGACTTTTTCACGAATTTGTTTTAACGATTTTTTAAAACAAATTATTGCACGTAATTCAATGTACTAAAGATCTTCAACACATTTATTAAAGTTTAAGAAGTTGTAATGACGGTCGCAGGATTTCTTTTTCTCATGGTTATAGTTTTTTTATTCCTGCTTTAGTAATAAGAATTACTCTTATTACAGGAAAATATAAAAGATTATGATGAAAGCATGTGTCGTGCTTCCCTTGGATAATTTGTTGAGCAATTGAGACCCGCGCCTTAAACAATGACAGGGGAAATTTTCTTCGACAAAACAGGAAATGAATAAAGGCATAAAAATGAATATGAAAAACAATTTCACGTTCCTTTTTTCTAGGCTTATTTATCGCATGTTGGATTACCGAGTTATAAACTAGCAATCATATTTGAAATGCCTCATAGGAATGATTTGTAAAAAATCGATTTCTAATTGCTAACATTCACAAAAAGTAGTGATTACAACTGCCAAGACTTTGATTGTTCATATACATCAAATCTTAAACAACAATAAAAAGCTTTGGAAATATCATAAAACGCTAGTACATTGACTTTCTTGCTTGGAGTGACATTGTGTTTTTGCGATATCTCTTTTCATAAACCTTTATGCGTTTTCCCAAGATTTCCTTTAATTCTCTGCATTTAGCACCCACAGACCTTGGGTATTCCCGTTCTTTGAACTTGTTTTAGAGATAGAGAATATCTTCGGGTGGTGAAATATTGTAGACAGACTTTATGTCTTAAAATTTAACATGTATTTCTCTTTCAGGTTCAAAGCTTAAGGAAACCTTCTATTCACGTAAGGATTGAGCAAAGTTTTTATGTACTATTCAGTAAGCTGTTAGAATTTTGTGAGCCATGGCATTTTCCTTCCTCAGCAAGGCCCTGAAATAAAAATGGAAAATACACAAATACCTAAATTAAACACATGCAAATATAATTTTAATATATTAAATCAAAAGGTTATAAATGGAGGTACTTACTACTTACAACCAGAGAAAAGGTTATATTTTATCTAAACACTCACGACTTCTGCAAAAACGTTTTGATTGAAAACCCTCGTGCATATCAAGTGTCCAGAAGGAAATGACTTGGTTTTGTTTTGACAACTCCGATCGATTTTGAAAAGACCTAATCATTTTTTATTTGTTTTATATTAATGAAATATCGTTATTTCTTGGAGTCTGAATCGGGAAAATAATTTTTTTAGCTCATTTGCTGGTTGAAGAAATTCTATTTAAAAATTACTAGTATGTGTTATATTTAGAAAAGAAAGGGCGGTAGTTACAACTGTTTCACGAATGTGAATCCTCAAGCTTTAGCCCTGAGATGCATCAAACGAAATCAGTTTCTGTCCTTTGGCTAGTTAATTGAAGAACTAGTAATTAATAGAGAAAATAAACGTTACAACTAAAAGTAAACTCCAGAGTAAAATCTGATGATCTCTTTGATTTGTAAGCAGAATAGCTCAGTTTATAATGTATGTGTGTTTTTTTTTTGTCGAAAATCTGCAAATGGGTTTAAACAACTAGCCATTTAAGTAAAGAACTCTGCCGATTTACTCATTTTTTCCAATAATAAAATAAAAACAAATCACCTGAATGCATTATCTCTACTTCTAGTCTCAAACCCGAATAAAGAAGGAATGTTCCATTAGGTTGACATCATTTAGAAAAACAGATTTATATCGGATACCGCTCTGACACCAAGAAGAGCCACACAGGTAGCTGTTTGGAACATCTAAACATAGTATAAAATGGGAAATGTGGGTGTCCAAAAAAAGCAGTTGAGACTTAACAAGACATGATGGCTTCAGGCAATTTAAGCGAATCACCAGGAGGAAGGCTGCTGTACTCTGCATGTTGTGCTCACCACATAGACCATGCGTAGTCCTATTGATTTACCTAGAGGCTCATTCTAGCCCTCGTCAACCACAGACATGTTAAAGCACGTACATGTATCATAAAAGCAAAGTTTGCCAACAAGAACAAGAGGGTCTTTAAAGTCATCCAGAAACATGCGCCTTTCTTCGAAGCAGACAAAGACAAAAAGATGTGGTTTTCACGACCAAATTCGATTAATATTGGACAAAAAAGGTGTAAGGACTTCACATTTTTAATGAAAGACCTGCTATTACAAGATTGTGGTCACTTTAAATGAAACTGTGCAAAGATGTGCGCCTTGAACTAGCTGGTAATAAAAGGCAAATTTTCTTCCTTCATAAAATGATACACGAGACTAAATGCTTCCTTATTTATGCCAAAGAACAACAGATTGTTTATCTGCATTAATCATCGGTTTATGAAATAAAATCCTGATGCGGGGTGCTGAAGTGGCAACATCCACCTTCTAGCACTTGACTGAGACGACTGAAAAAATACTAATCAGCACATATATGGTTTATTGTACGCCTGTTTAAGAACAGGGATATCTAGACCTCCTCCTGAATTCCATTCACTTCAAGAGCTGAAAAAGGAGAATTTATTTAGCGACGCAGTGGCAACAAACTAAAGATATGCGACATCTGTGAGACCATTGGAGCTTATGCAATACATATATGGCACACCAAATTCACATAAATGAGCTAAACATAGTTTCATAGTCGGCTTATCGGTTGTAAACTATAGTTTACGGACTGTAAACTATAGTTAACAACGTTAATCTATATTTTACATCTGTAAACCATAGTTAACGCGATAATCTATGTTTCAGAACCGTAAACTATACTTAACACTGAAGACAATCATTTGCGATTGCAAAACAAAAATCTGATAAATTCAGTTTCACGAGTTGTAACCTATGGTTTACAACTCTTAACTATAGTTAACGATCTGATAAATATAGTTTCACGATTTGTGAAACTATGATTAACATCTCTTAACTATAGTTCACGATTGTAAATGATAGTTTACAGACGTGAATCTATGTTTATCAACAAAATCTATTGTTAACTTTTTATGACAGACAGATAGACTTGGATCAACATTCGTAAACTATAGTTAACAACCGTTAAATATAGTTTTACAGATGAAAATTATATAGTTAACGAATTGTTAACTATAGTTAACCTTCTCCTCATACAGTTTTAAATCAATTACAATATAAATTGGTACATAAATGAACTAGAAAAAGAGATAATATCTGTGTATGGTTTTTTTTATTAAATTGATGAACATTATTGTCATGGTTACTTAAAATAGAAATTTCTGTGAAATTCTTTTGAAACGCTACTCCTTCTACATTTTTAGTCCGGTTTCTGAATACTAGTAACTGGGTAAACAAGTAGACTTAAGGAAGATACGACATTGTATGTATTTTTTTTTTAATTTATTGAATTAAAGAACAGTATTCAAGCCAAAAAAAGTCCGTTAAACAATACAAAATTGGAGCAGAAGAAACACGGACCTCCAAGACATCAGAAGTGGGATCAGGTGCCATTGAGGAGTGAGCATCCCCTGCCAACCGGTCACACCCGCCGTGTGATCCTTGTCATGATCGGGAAATAACGGAAAAATCCGTGTGTATATAATGACCTAACAATATAGTATGAAAAACGTCAGTCAGCATTTGACTTAATGATACATGTAAATTGTACTTGCTGATAAGATAATTGTATCCATAGGCGCTTGGTTTCAGGATGGTGTATTTTGTGTATTATGTGTTTTCTAGGTGTGTCTGAATACCCTCATCAAAATAAAAATAAAAATTCGCTGAAATTAGCAAGTTTTAAAAATGTCATATTTACTGTATATAAAAAGAGTATAAAGGAGTATGCATAGGCACTTAGTTTCAGGATGGTGTATTTTGTGTATTATGTGTTTTCTAAGTGTGTCTAAATACCCTCATCAAAATAAAACTAAAAATTCGCTGAACTTAGCATGTTTTAAAAATGTCATATTTACTGTATATAAATCAAAGTACTGAGACAGTACTGAAAGACGGGGTCAAAATAATCTTCATGCTAAATTTCACAAATGTGATTTTTTTTTTACGAGTTTAGATAACAACTTGATTTTTCATTTAGATACTAAAAAAAAAACGGTGCATAATATATATTCACACTTTACATTTGATTTGAAGTAGAAATTTTAATAATTGCTCAGCCTGGAAGCCTTTCTGAACTGCGACGAATTTCATCAGGTACGAATTAATATTTTTTCCGGAAGTAAACAATTGATGATGCGTACGCAGTCATAATAATACGCAGGATAGTACTTTGTTTACTAGTGTGATTTACAGTTAATATTTTCAGTTTTAAATTATCAAAATACTTTATTAGTTTGAGTTAGAGAAAGGTTCATATCACTTTCTTCAGTTTGATACAGAATGTTTATGTTTTGATCAAAACAATTTCTGCACTATTTTGTATGCGTAGATTTAATTCATGTGTTATCACCACGGCTTCCTGTTTTGAGGCTTCTGACAGTAAACTAAAAGACGGGGTCACGTGACCCCGTCTAAAAATGGTTGAGATTCAAAACCAAATGGTATATCCCTTAGTTGTTTTAATAGAAAATAATTATACATGTAGTTGTTCATCAGTTGAAATTAAATATTTCTGTCCGAGAGGAGGGGGTTCTCATCTCAGACCTTATTTCACACTCAAATCCCTTTTTCAAACATCTAGTTCTGGGTTGTTTTGTTTGAATTTTAGGGGGGCAAAAGTGTGTTTAATGCAAGTTGTTATGTTTCAGATGGAAATATTGAAGTCGGACATGACAAAGACTATTGTTCAGTTTCATTTATTAGAACACAATTTTGTTGGTAACTCCCATATACACATGATTTAAGTTTGAAACCCTATTATACATTGCATTTTAATATGTTTCCTGGGGACGTGAATTCAATAAGGGTAACCCACAAAATACGGGAACATTAGTCCCCTATAAACAATGATGACTTCATATTACATGCCCTGGATGTATACTTGAGAAGGCTTTCATCTCAGGTGAGTTAAAAGTAAATTTAAATCCAAAAAGTTTTTATGCCTTCTTAGATGACATAAATAGAAGAAATGGTCTTTCCAGTGCACATCAGTAACTTTGCAAGTCCTTCCATTAGCTCCATGGCTGAGCTAATTCTAAAATTGTCATTATCAATTTTAATCATCAAGGTAGTTGAAGGCCTTGTAACTTTTTGATATCATTGATCAAGGGAATTAACTCATGCTCTAATGTCTCTCTGTCTCCGTTATTGTTTATGATGTGATTCCAGTCTGAAAAAGAGTCCAGTCCACATTCAGATTCTACATCATCTACACCTGAAGGATACAATAATAATATAGTAAAACTTTTCTTTTGTGAAGAATTTTTCTTCATTTCTGAGCACATTCAAATGTTTAGAAAAAAAAACATGAATAATGTAGTGTCTTGTTAATAAAAAGGAATACAGATACATGAATTTATTTAATTTCTGCTCACCTTTTTTGAAAACAAATCCTCTTTCCTTTCTTGCTGCTGTAGTTGCTTCGATACGGACAGTTAAAGTTTTCTGGTGATAATATTTTAGAAAATACTCAATGTCTGTTTTCCTTCTCGCATCACTAATTAACCAGATCTCTTTATCAGAATCTGTGCCAGAAGTTGCAAGAACACAGAAATACTCTGAGTTTTCATTTCTTTTCTTCTCTCCCCATTGAATCATATCTTCCCTGTAGCTCTCCTTGTATTCTGAAGAATCCAAAAGTCTCTGTAGATCAAGCCCATTCTCCTAAAAGCAGTGTTTGAATATTATGCTCTTTCCTTTGGTTGTATTATTATACATTAGACTTAGAGATTGGTCAAATAAATCAAATTATACAATATTGACTTGTTCTGAGACAGAGATGTGTTGGAGATAATGCTGTCCTCTTTATCTTTGCCCATTTTTGAATTTGTCCATATTGATCAAGGGTGAGAAAAGAGCACATGGTCTTGGGCTATTAATCCAGATCTATATAAAGCAGCCAGGGGTAGAAATTTAATAATTTAGAAGCATTTTGTAGCAAGATTCATGAAGGATTTTGATGAAAATGGTTAGAATGGTAGAAAGAAAATCTTTAATGAAAGGTTTCACTTGAAGTAACTTAATGTCAAAAAATTATACAAAACATTCTATGACAATTGCAATATATTATAAAAGTCCATAAAATTATCATGGACACAATATAAAATTCAGTTTACTATTTCTCATTATATTTCTATTTTGTAGAACAAACATTTTGGGGAGGGGGGTTACAAGATATGTTCAGAAAAAATTAAGTTGTCTACAAACTTTTTGAACAAACCTCACATTGTGGAAATATTAGAACAGTTCATAGAAAAGATACAAACCTTGGCATACTGTGATTTCAATGGACCAGACAGTCTTAAGATTGCACAGAGTTCTGCAGAAAATCTGCAATAGATAATACATTAAGCAGACAGTGTAATTTTTTAAAGGCAAAATGTTCTTTTTGCACATAACTTATTTTTGTAAGTGACTTTTTTTTTAAATTAAATACAATGACTTTAAAGATATAGGTTATGATCTGTTTAATTCATTTTCATTTGTTATAAAATCAACAATTTACATGTATACTCACCGTCAATAGAAACGCAACACCTTAATTTTAGGGTGAAAATTATATACAGGTTATAACTATGTACCAAAAACTTAGGACATCTTTTACTATGCCAAATCAGTTATTTAACGGTTGAATGATTTTCATTCCATTACCGGAAGTTGCTTTTTAGCCCTCTTAACAGAATTCAAAATTTGAGGAATTTGAGGAAATATAGGCATCACATCCGGTAAAGAAAGAAAGATTTTTTCCCGGCCTTTTAGTACAATATTTATGATTAACAGCTTCAAAACCTTGGAAACCCAAAATATTGTTAGAATTTTATTTAAAATGGAAAATTTTGAATTCTGTTAAGAGGGCTAAAAAGCAACTTCCGGTAATGGAAAGAAATTAATTCAACCGTTAGGCCATTTTTTTTTTTATTAGTTGTTTTACGGATTTTTTTGGGGAAAATGTCCATTGGGTGGCTACAAAAAAAAAAAAAAAAAAGAAGAAGAAGTGTTCAATGTTCAAAACTTTTAATATGCAGCATATCAAAGCAGTTGGAGAAATCAACCTCAGAACATTGCACAGAAATGTCTTTTTCTTGGCATTCCTCACTAAAAGAGAACGATTCTTCGAGCAGAGAACAATGCTAAACTTTTCTGTGTATGTCTATCGATACGGGTGTCCTCTCACTGCTACGTCCACATTGCCACAGAAAAACACACTTCAGCAAATTTTACACAACCCCCTGTAAAATAATAAAAGTTTAATCAAATTCAGATAATACCTTTTCTTAAACAGTATTAAACAGTATAAAACTAAAATTCAGTGCACAATCAATGAACACAAATAAACTTACTAGAATGATAAGTCATCCCCATAGGGTTTCACATTCCTATGACTCTCATACAAACATTTTTTGTCTTAGAACATCCTGATGAGTCAGTTCCTTTTCCAAATCTAAAATTTAAAACTTTAAGAAACATTTCTTTCACATCATTTGATAGATTCATACCTGTACAATGACAAAAAAGTCTTTTGTTTTTCTGACGCTTTAACAATTGACAACACGTCTTGCAGATTTTTAAAATACAGTCAAACATGTGCTTTTAAAAATGTCATAAATAATATATGAACTGTTAACTAACCATTACATATAACTGATTAAAACTTCGCCAAACCCTCAAAGAAAAGTTATGGGTGTCGGATGGAGTGCAAGTGACGACATCAGATTTGTTGGTTTTGGCTGTAATTTCCTCAACCACCACACTCCATTCGCTGATCAGATAACATCATATATAGAATAATCACCAGCCTGATCAGCTCATAAAAACCGTCATACATTTATACGTTTAATATTGTTCTTAAAACATTTATATTCTGTTTTAAATCATATGGCCGTCATACATTCTCTCACCAGAGGACGCTACGCAAACTTCAGGTGAAGCTTGCGTAGCGTCCTCTGGTGAGAGAATGGCCGTCATACTTATTTCATCTCTGACTATAAAACGCTTGCAGAGTTCTTATTAAAAGGGTCAATAGTAGAAGCGTTTACATGATTCTGATCACAACTAAGTAAAATTCAAACAATGTACGGCCATTTCCGGATTTTTTTTTATATGTTTGAAGTAAAGTTCGATCGGCGATTATAAAAAAAGGATTGAATGGAATTTTTATTTTTTTTCCAAAACTTACAAAAATGGGGTCGGCGGATCCGTAAAACAACTAATAAAAAAAATTTGGCCTTAAATAACTGATTTGGAAAAGTAAAAGATGTCCTAATTTTTTCGGTACATAGTTATAACCTATTTTTAATTTTCACCCTAAAATTGAGGTGTTGCGTTTCTATTGACGGTGAGTATATGTGTTAATACATGCAAAAAAGTTTTAGTCAACATTTAATGTCTAAAAGAGAAAAACTATATGCTCCATTTAGTCAATAGTTTATTCAACACGAGGCCCATGGGCCACATTGCTCACCTGAGTAACTTTGGCCATGCTGTTTGTTTACAGATTCAAACTGATTGTGACCCCACCCTACCCCCTAAGGGTCATGATTTAGACAATTTAGAATCTACACTACTCTAAGATGCTTTCACATAAGTTTCATCTTTTCTGACCCAGTGGTTCTTGAGAAGAAGATTTTTTTTAATGACCCCGCCCTTCTTTTGTCTTTTTTTTTTTTATCTTCCCTTGCAAGGGGACTTGGTCCTTCATTCTTACAATTTGATCTCCCCTTTACTCAAGGATTCTTTGTACCAAGTTTGATTAAAATTGGCCCAGTGGTTCTTGAGAAGAGGTTGAAAATGTGAAAAGTTAACAGATGGATGGATAGACAGAGAGACAGACAGACAGATGGAAGAACAAAGGATAATGGGTGATCTTTTCTTACATGTGTGTGAATACACTTGTAACAGGAAACAAGAAAATGTATGACTGGAATGGGAATTGAACCCAGTAACCCTGCATCACTAGTCAGGTGCTGTAGATACCGACTGAGCTACCCAGGTCGTACCCAGGTCGATATGCATTGGCCCAAACAAATACATCCCCCCCCCCATTTTCTTCACAACCTAAGTTAATTCTTATTAGCCCCTGGCAAGACTTTCACCTGAAAGTCCAGTTTGGTCAATGGCACCAAATCTGTAACATAAACAAGAGGCCCATGGGCCACATCGCTCACCTGAGCACTAAGGGTAGGAAAAAGTAGAAAATGGCTTTTTATTGTAAAGTTTAAATCAAAAGTAGTCCCATGACCAATCATGGATTTGCTATTTTTTAGAAAATGATTTTTAAAGAATTTTCGTATATATATCTTTAAAAACTTTGGTCAGCCATTTTGGCCCCGCCCTACCCCTGGGGGTCATGATTTGAACAAATTTGAATCTACACTACTTGAGCATGCTTCCATATAAATATGATGAATTATGGCTTTGTCATTCTTGAGAAGATGTTTAAAGAATTTTCCTATATATTTCTATGTAAAACTTTGGTCGGCCATTTTGGCCCTTCCCTACCCCTGGGGGTTGTGATTTGAAGACACTTGAATCTACACTACCTGAGCATGCTTCCATATAAATATGATGAATTATGGCTTTGTCATTCTTGAGAAGAAGATTTTTAAAGAATTTTCCTATATATTTCTATGTAAAACTTTGGTCGGCCATTTCGGCCCCGCCCTACCCCCGGGGGTCATGATTTGAAGACACTTGAATCTACACTACCTGAGCATGCTTCCATATATATATGATGAATTATGGCTTTGTCATTCTTGAGAAGAAGATTTTTAAAGAATTTTCCTATATATTTCTATGTAAAACTTAGGTCGGCCATTTTGGCCCCGCCCTACCCCTGGGGGTCATGATTTCAACAAACCTGAATCTACACTACCTGAGCATGCTTCCATATAAATATGATGAATTATGGCTCTGTCATTCTTGGGAAGAAGGTTTTTAAAGAATTTTCCTATATATTTCTATGTAAAACTTTGGTCGGCCATTTTGGCCCCACCCTACCCCCGGGGGTCATGATTTGAAGACACTTGAATCTACACTACCTGAGCATACTTCCATATAAATACGATGAATTATGGCTTTGTCATTCTTGAGAAGAAGATTTTTAAAGAATTTTCCTATATATTTCTATGTAAAACTTAGGTCGGCCATTTTGGCCCCGCCCTACCCCCGGGGGTAATGATTTGAACAAACTTTAATCTACACTACCTGAGGATGTTTCCCCATAAGTTTCATCTTTCCTCTCACTGTGGTTCTTGAGAAGAAGATTTTTAAAATATGCCACCAAATTTTCATTAATTCCCAATTATCTCCCCTTGAATGAGGGCGTGGCCCTTCATTTGAACAACTTGATCCCCTTCACCCAAGGATACTTTGTGGGCAAGTTTGGTTGAAATTGGCCCAGCGGTTCTTGAGAAGATGTCGAAAATGTGAAAAGTTTACAGACAGACGGACAGCTAGACAGACAGATGGACGCCGGACAAAATGTGATCAGAAAAGCTCACGTGAGCTTTCAGCTCAGGTGAGCTAAAAATGAAAATGTATGGCTGGACCTGGAATCTAAGTTATCTAACCCGGTCTAGTCAGGTGCTCTACCGATTGAACTACACAGGCTGATATCCATCACCATGGTCAAAACCATTGCAATCTCATCAAAATAAAAAAAAATCGCTGAAATTAACACGTTTTAAAATGTATTGAGACTCATATAGGAAAGAAACATTAACATAAACTGATAAACAAAATACACCATCCTGAAACCAAACGCCTACTGGCCTTTGTAATTGACGCATATTCCAGGTATATTTCCACTAAATGCTTTTGTTGTAAATCTTAAAGTGTCTAAGGATATTTCAATCTTACTTTTCTTGAAGCAAATTTGCAATAAAATCTTTTCCCGACTTTCTTTTCCCACTAAACACAACTACTGCTTTTGGAGAAATCACCATGCTTCTACTTTCACTTTGAAGCTAACGAACTAATTTTACCTTCACAAGCAGGAGAGTGTGTTATCCACATGGTTTCTGATGATTTTGTGTGTGTGTTTTTTTTATAATTAAGGTACAGTCTACTTGTTTGTGTGTGTTATATATATTATATATGTGTGCTATAAAAGAATTTAAATGATGGTGTTTTAATCTCTCTTTTTTAGATTAAATAATGCCATGAACATGCACACAACTCTGTTTCAAAGATTGAGAAGGTAAGCATTGCAACGTTTGGATTGGATTGCCTGTGTTTTGTAACATGTTTGATTAGTGTGCAGTTTATGAGATTTCAGCAACTGGTCAAATTCCTAAGCAGATTCTTAGGTAATAGATTTCAACAAAATTTCGGGATGGAGACCAAAAACTTAGTGAAGGAGGGGAAAGCCGAAGTACTGTACCCCCCATATGTATTCTATAATCCTGTTCAGGAGTTCAACAGAGACTTAACTATTGCTGTTATCTCTCAGTTCGCAAAAGAAAAACTTATCCCACAAACCAAATCAGCGATCAAAAAAGAGGGAGATAAATCTCCAGAAGCGGAGGTACGATTTATCAGCTACTGACATGATTATATAACCATAGCAGACAATCCTAATTCCTGAACATTTCAAGATTTTGTAATCTTGTGCCCATGAATTTTTGCTTTCTAATTTTATTTAAAATTTATATTTGAATGATAAATTCAACAAAAATACATTGGAATTCTTTTTTTTACATTCAATTCTGAACAAATCATGTACTGTCAATGTTAAAATACTTTTACAAATTTTTCATTTTTAGGACCAAATAAAGAGTTCAGAAGATGAAGAAGTATTGATAGCTGGAAAGTGTTATGACAAAGGACTCCGAATATTTGAAGGACTTGCAGCATCTGGATTGCGTTCAGTCCGATTTGGATTAGAAATCCCAGGTGTCAAAGAAATTGTTGCAAATGACTTTGATAAATCAGCAGTTGAAATCATTAAGAAAAACATAGAACTGAACAAAATGGAACATTTGATAAAAGCCAGCTATGGAGATGCAGCCATGGTCATGTATCAAAATAGGGAAAAGGAAAATAGGTTTGATGTAATTGACCTTGATCCCTATGGCAGTCCTCATCTATTCTTAGATGCTGCTGTTCAAGCAGTCAGTGATGGGGGACTTCTCTGTATCACCTGCACTGATGCTGCAGTCCTGTGTGGGAATACCCCTGAGACCTGTCACTCTAAGTACGGCAGTGTCTCCCTGAGAACTAAGTACTGTCATGAAATGGCCCTGAGGATTATATTGAGGAGCGTGGAGTCTCACGCCAACAGGTACTCTCGGTATACTGAGCCCCTGCTGTCGGTTAGTGTGGACTTTTATTTCAGGGTGTTTGTCAGGGTGTACAGTGGTCAGGGAAAGGTCAAGAGGTCATTAAGTAAGCTCTCCACTGTGTATCATTGTGTAGGATGTGGCAGCTTCAAGTTACAGAGAATGGGCCTCATGATCCCTACAAAAGGAGTGGGCAATTACAAGTAAGAAATAAATGTTATATCATTTTTTTTATGCCCCATGTTTTTATCCAGCAATAAAGGAGTTTATCTACTACAATATGATTTTTCTTTTAATTAAACAATATTTTATTAACTGATGTTAATGTGAATAGGATTGGGCAGCAGGCTCAGCCTATTTAGCCCTCTCCCTAAGATATACAATATGATTGATTGAATTGATTTCATTGAAAATAACAGGGCTCGACATTAACGCTTGTCCGCTTGTCCAGAACCAATGAAAAAAAATTTCGGACAAGTGAATATTGCTGGGCACTTGTCCGATTGGACAAGTGCATTTTAATGTAAAGAGGTCTCTAAATAATAAAAAGAACGACTGTTGAAAGCTAAATTGGTAGTCTCAAGACGGAAGCTCTACATAAAATCCAAACTTTGATTCCGATATGTATCGCTATATTAATATTGAGTTCACATTTGATCGGGATCAAAGTTCACTAATTGCATACTACTGAAAAGTCATGGAAGATACGAACCGAAGTGTCAATATTGTTTGATGTTGACAGTTTCACTTGTGGACATTTATGTTATTGTCAGAAAGCCTAAATAAAATTTCGCTTTATGTGTCTGTTGTATTTATCAATAACATCAAGAATCAATCAAGGGCATGACATGTGTAAATAAATGGACTTAATTTTAATTTTCAAGTTGAAACTATTGAACTTTATTGAAAATTTTTGGACAAGTGAAGTTGAAATTCGGACAAGTAAATGTCTTGGTCACTTGTCCGAATGGACAAGTAGGAAAAAAAGTTAATGTCGAGCCCTGAATAACTTGCATTGTAAAAAACATACTAGAAATGTAGAGAAGGATCTAGAGAAAGGAGAGAGAATTAATTTTACTTAATGCATGATTCCCTCTCTTGAATTCATTTAGGTACACTGCAGGAAATGGCCCAGTTGTAAAGGAATCTTGTGATAATTGTGGCTTCAGATACATTGTTGGAGGCCCAGTGTGGGCTGAAGAAATGCATTGCCCAGACTTTGTACAGAGGGTAATAGACAGTGTTGATGAAGAAAAGGAGCAATTTAACACAGCAAAGAGAATTGTGGGAATGTTAAGCATGATAAAAGAAGAACTACATGACATTCCATTTTATTACACAATGGATGGGCTATGTGGTGTATTGCATTGTGAAATGTTGAGCTTTCCAGCCTTGAGGTACTGAAAACAAAGAATTACATGATACTTTCTGTTATCTTTGAGTAAAAAAAAACATTTACTGAGTTTAAGATTTTATTAAACGATTTATACAAACTTTGTTTTTACAGATCTGCATTTTTGAATTCTGGCCACAGAGTTTCTCTTTCTCATTGTGCCAAAGACTCGATTAAAACAGATGCCCCTTCTTCATTTGTCTGGGTAAGAGGTGTACTATCTCATAAGAGTTGTACATGTACTAGTTAGGGCCCCGCAAGGATTTGCGGGTGCCCTATAGTAATCACTCTGTCCGTCCGTCTGTCTGTCTGTCCGTCTGTCACTCTTCCGTCCACAAATTTTCTGTTTTTTTCTAATAACTTTTTTTAAGGTTGCCCAATCAGGTTCAAATTTTGTATGGTAGTTCAGTAGGCAGAAATACATATTTTGATTCTAAGTTTGGTTCTCTTTGTCTTCTGGTTTGGAGCTGGAGTGGTGGGGTAGATTCCTTAGCTATGCATAAGAATGAATGGGCAAAGAGAGATAACTGCTGAGAATGTTACCATTGTAAACTGGGAAGGCTGTGCAATTTTTCCTTTGGGATTAATTAACCTTCCACATGAAGAAAATCTTAAGCATTATCTTTATCTGTCACATTGAGATTAATTACTGTACCAGCCTCTGTCTGCAATGAACTTTGTTTTGAAGTTAAGGTCAATTTTGAATGATGTGTACATTCTTGGAAATATGGATTTAAAATAATGTTCATACTTTGTATTGGTTAAGATACTGTACACAACAATTTAACATAATTTAATTATTTTATTGAATTCTAAAATCAAGATATATATTAAGATATCCTTTTTTATTATTACTATTTTATTTTTTAATCATTTATTTAATTTAATTTTTTTTTTTTGCTGCCATGCTGTTAATTTTAACAGGTAATCAGATAATAACCCCATTCTGTCAGTGCTGAAAAAAGTTCTTATTGTAAATTTATATAGAAGAAAGGGATGGGAGAGCAGTATAATTAATCCCCTGGGATTAATTATCTTGCTTGCTGCAGAAAATTTAGAGGTTTATCTTAATCTGTCATGTGAAGATTAATGAACACCTTTGTCTGCAACTGATGTTTGTTTTGAAGTTGAGGTCAACCCTGGGTGATATTTGCATTCACTGAAGGCTTGCATTTTATAAAACAACTGCTTAAATCTTTTTTGAATGCACATTAAATTTAGTTTTTTTTTAGTAAGACATGGGGTTTTCCCTGTTTTATGTTAATACAAGGTTACTATTTAACAGGTTTTTGGACATTCAGGAATTATCTTGAAATTTTAAAAATACAGTTGTTACTTATAATCTTCATATATTAAAAAAAAAGTAATCAAGTAAAACTCTCATTCAATGAGCTGCACCCTTATATTTCTACCCCTCAGCGGGGCCCTTGCTGACTGGTCAGTTTTCTAGTTTTTGCTCACCTCAGCCAAGTTGGGGGAAGCTTAAGTGATACCCTTGCTGTTGGTGTTCCAGGTTAAAATTTTTTGCATTTTCTTTTTGAGTACTTCTATGCCCTTCATAAATCAGAGATTCATGGAAGATGCTTTTAGAAATTTGTAAGGAAGAGAAATTTGACTTGGCTGAGCAATATCTTTGGCCATTGGGCTCTTGCAGAGTTAGTGTGCATTACATACATATGTATTTCTTCATTCTGACAGGATGTTATGAGAGCATGGACGAAAGAGAAGCCAGTGAAGGAGCGCCACTTACAGGATAATACCCCATGTAAAGCTATCCTCAGTAAACCATGCACGGAAGAAGTGTCATTTGAGGTGAGGGAAATATGTTTCAGAAAAGAAAATGCATAGTCTGTAAGTACAGAACCAAAGAGAGTACATGTAAGGGGATGCCAAGAGTTGATTATTTTCATGTAATCAAATAGCAAATCACAAATGGCTTTTGACATTTTCATTCATTTTGAAGTTGACACATTTACTAAAAAAAATTTTTTTAAGTACATTAGAGGAAAGAGTAACTTTTACTGACATGCTTTCAGCTGCATCCTAATTCCAACCCTGAATCCCGAGTGAAAGGTTTAACACGGTGGCAGGCCAATCCGGAGAAGAACTGGGGCCCTAAGCCCAGGGCCAAGAGACAGGCTGAGGGCAAAAATAATGGAGGCACTACAGAAAGCAAAAAGACAAAGAAGGTACCTCGTCATGCTTAGAAATTCTATTCATCAGTGTCAATTGATATCTTTATCTGTTTTAATAGAATTTTAGGTTCATGTATAGTATTCATTTTTTTCTACAGAATCTGCAGATAGAATCATCATCTAATGGAGAGAAGGATAGCAGACCATGCCGACATTTTAAGAAAGGACATTGTAAACTAGGGGACTCTTGTAAATTTGTCCACTGAGAATATTCTACTGCTTACCATTTCTATACCTTCTTACCCTCTTACCATTATAAACAGTTCGTGATATTGAAGTGGCATATATTTCCAGGATCAACAGATTATTCTGACTTAAATGTATTCAGTCTATTACAACTGTTAACTCACTGATTTTCAATAAATAAATAAAAGTTAACTATTTTATTTTGTTTGATAGATCAGACTAATACAGTAATGCAGTCTATCACAGTTTTTACTGTAAAAAAAAAATAACAAAATTTTAGCTCACTGATTTTCAATAAAAACTTAGAATAAAGCATTTGTTCAAACTGTTTTAATTTTGTTTGATGATTTTATTGATGGTATTATGAAGAGATAATATAATACCCTGTAAATAAACATATAAATAATATAAGTACAATTTTATATAATCAAAATGACAATTCTATAAACATACAGTATATTCATAAAATCACAATGTTCTATATGCAGCATTTTATAAAAATCTACATTTATACTTGTACAATTCATATATATTCCCTTGAAACATATATTGAAATGTTTTATATTCTTTATTACAATCATTAAGTGAATTCTAAGTCCACTTGTTAATTAGGAATATATAAAAATAACAAGTACATTTGTTTGAAATGTATGTACATACAGAATTACATTACTGTACAAGTTTAAACTGTAATAAAATAATATCATTCACTCTCATTTAATTATTAATTTGGAGGCTAAGTCTGGAATCAATAAGCTGAATAATGTCTTTTGTCTGTTGTCCAGAATTTGGAGGTAAAAGTCTTGACCAATAGGATTTTCATTAAGGAAATTAAATTCTACAAAATGTAAACTGTGTGATTGTTTATTTTATCTCATTTAGTATGTTTTATTTAAAATCAGTTGTGGCATATTCATAATGTATAATTAATAGATTATACATTTGAATATTATAATACAGTGTAATTAAAACAACATAAAACTAATCACTTTTACATATCCCCCCCCCCCCCCCCCCCCCCCCGTTAGCAAATGACGTTCTCGTCATTTAACACCCCTGTTACACATGTTCTATATGCAGATAATGATTTTGCAATTTTCTCAATGGGCTAGATATAAGTTTTTATGTACATACAGCTGTACAGCTGTACAAGGTGTTTAATTGTCCATGAAAAGCGAGAAATAGAATATGCCACAAAATGTAACCATGTGCAATGATCAGTCATGATTGGAATCGTTAACATCTGCATTCATGATACAAATGTTCATTGACAGGAACAATATATGACTATAAGTGAATCATCATTTCAAAATGCAGAACTGTTCGTAGATTCTTCACAAAATTTCAAAGATAATTTTATTTGTAGGTGTTTTTTCCTTTAGGTGTTTTTGGTATATTAGTTGTTCAATGTTAAAATTTTAAAACTCAGAGTTGTTAACAAATAATTAAGGACATAAATGTTTGATAAAAGTTTTTTGACAAAAAATGAGTTATTGGTGTGTGCATTATTCAATAAATATCACAAAAATTACAAAACATAAATTTGATTTTTTTCATCAAAAAATGTTTTAGAAGAGGTGTACAAATCCATATATAGACATGAACCGCGCAATAAAGTTCAAACTACATTGCATATGACCATAAAAACATTTTCAAGTTTTTTGTGTGGTGTGTTCACACTGACTTGTCAAATATACTAGTTCTAATAAAAATATTGTTTTTCATTGAAATATAGTTAAATACTAGTAGGCAAAAACTAGGTTACTAGTTAAGTTGACTCACTTATGGCCATATATGGTAATCATGAATAAATGCACTTCAGATGGATTGCAAAGAAAAGAATCCAGCTGGGTAAGTATACCAATGTTCATCACAGATGTCTAAATCCCCTAGATTTGTTAAAATCAGGAAACAAATAGGAGTCATTTCTTAGTTTATTAATTAATACAGATAATAAACATTTAACAATATAGTCAATAATTGGACACAAGCTTTCAACTTCATTCAAATTCTTGTTTCAAATCAGTGCTTAATTATTACATAATTCAATAATTTATGTGCATCAATACATGTATAAAAAAAATTAAATGCTAATATTTTTCACATACTTTAAGATCATCTCAGGCCATAAATTCTCAGTAAAATTCATTAATTACATTTTAAAATTATGCCAGCAGTATTTATAAGTTGAAATAAATTGTTGAACCCTGCATGTACTTTCTGTAAGACAAACACATAAAAACAAAATATTGAACAAAAATATCACAGACTTAGTAAAAGTTATTGCAACATTTACAAAACATAGAAATATGTCCTGACACCAATGGCCAGACAGAGACAAAATTCCTCAAATGCATTAAAAACAGGAAAATCTCGACATGACAGAAAACATCTGTCCTACAAGAAACCTAGAGTTAACAGCACCAGATGATGGACAGATTGAAAGATCAAAGAGGGACACAGGTAGGACAAAATAAAATACTTATATACACCTGTATTAATAATTTCCATGATTGTATCATTTCATGGTGTTTGCAGCACAAGTAAGGATGTTATAAAGGGCTGACAACAATTCAGCATAAATTATATTTAAGGTACACATATTTATCATAAATAGTTGTATTCATAATTATTTGCTCTTGTATTCATTTGCAGTATGCAATTCATGAATAACATACACAATTCACAGAATTATAAAGGTGAGCTGTTTCTCCTGTTGACCATTTCAACAAAAGTATTACATACATTATACATACACACATATAGAATAATAATTAATATACACTTTATACAAAGTCTGTACCAGAAACAGACTTGATTGCATCGTTCAGTTTATAGTTAAACATTTTCCTTATAAATGCTAGTATGAAATATTGAGCAGTGTCCCTCAGAGCAGCAAACCATTTTGGCTGTTTTAGTTGACTGTTAAATTAGGCTACATCAGAATCTTCAGCATTTTCTACAGTTGTTCCTAGGATGCTCTCAATGTCTTTGATTGCAAGCTGTAAAAGAATGACAAAAGATCATGGGTATTATCTTGTAAATTAAGAAGTTCTAATTCACTGATAAGTGGTACATATTTAAAAGTAAATACTGGATGGTACCACTCCTACCTTGAAATTAGTCTCTCCCTGCATGTTGGGTGCCGATATTTCTTGGTGGATGATGGACATATTTCTGGCAAATGTGGCAAGTGCTCCTTGTAAATTATCACCAAGTGTTCTGCAATGAGGTTAAATGTATTTAAAAATGTGAACTTAATGTACATATCCTTTAATTTAAATAATGATATAACAGCTAAAGAATACTCACAGCATTCCCAAATTCTCTCTGTTGAAACTATCTAAGAGGGTAAATACTGTGCCTTGTTTTTCCTAAAATGAGAATAAAATCATGTACATACATGTAAAACCTACTACAACTCCATTGATTTCTACAAAATTTTAATGGCTGTTAAAGTTGGAGCATACCTTGATATCATATCCAATGCCATGTGCTCGGCACATCTGGAAGAATACACTGTAGTGCACCACAGCCAGATTTGTGTGGAGAAGTCTCGTGCTCATCACGGCGTATCGACTCGTGTTGGGTGGCTGTTCATCTTCCTGACCTGCCAATCTACGACGTCGCTTCTTCTGTTCTTGTTTGGGTGGCGGTACATTGAAGGTATGAGTACTTAAGTCTAGTTTGCCATTACTGACGTAAGACATCAGCTGGAACATTGCTAAGCTATCACTATAGTGGAGACTGAGATCCAAGGCCCATAACTTCTGATCATTCTGTCAATTAGAAAAAAATGTATGTCAGTCACTAAAGACATTAATTTTACTGAAAACAGTTGCTGCTATGTTACCAACATTTAACTGAAATGCGAAAAGAATTAGAGAAATATAATGCCACTTACAGATTTGGGATCAATAAATGTGACAAAATCGACTGACAGATAACCAATGATGCCTCTTGACTTGCAGGCCTCTGCTACTTTTTTGCATGAAGCATTGAGGACATCTGGTTCCACTGAGGACTGGGGCATAGACACCCCCCAGCAGGAGAAGGGGGTCTCCGCATGAATCTGATCCCCCATACATATGACATTGGCCCGTCCCGTGGGTTCAATCAACAAGTCTACAGTCAGAGTAGTGATGCTGTCTGAGGGAGGGGTGGCCTCAATTACTCCTCCTGTAATAGTAGAGCAGTGATCATCGCATGACAGGAATCAAACTGAAAATTCTAAAAATACACTTTTCATTGAAGTGCTGGTAAATGTTTTAATACCTTGACTTAGGAATGCATCCAAGAACTTGGACCAATCTTCATAAAGTTCTGAATGTACAGGTCTAGCATGCTTAGCCAACACATCAGGGATTTCTGCATGGATCTTAATGTAAGCTGCTTCCTGTCACAAAAAAGGAAAAAAAAAATCAAATGTAAATAAAATTCAAAACTGCTTTAAATAATCCTATGCAGGCTTTGAAATGTATAAGAACATACCTGAGCCCACTTTTTACTCCACTTTTCTCCGTATCTCCGTGATTCCTTCAGAGCCCACTGGTAGCACTCTAAGTGTTCAGCGATATCACAGTATCCTATCCCTCTCCCATCATAACCATCATCCAGCTTAAACAGCCATCTCTTCACTGTCAAGTTCTCTGTCACTAACTGAGCTAGACACTCATGTAGCTATTCAGGAAAAAGAAAGGTATGGATAGTTGAAAATTATTAAAGCGGTATATTTTAGGTGAACAAGGATGCAATCATGAGAATTGTCACTCACTTGACCAATACTGTAAACATCAAATTCACTAGGTGGGACCTCCACATTAGCACTGGCAAATATCCTCTTACAGCCTGACTTTGTGGAGTAGAGATGTGCCACCTCAGGCTCGGGGGAGAGGATGGGGACATCCAGGTAGTCAGCAATGGCCAGGTCATCCTTGTGTGGTACCCCGGTCACTATGTAAGCATCACAGCCCTTGATCAAGTGTTGGATACGCTTCAGTGTCCGAGGGCTGTACTTCAGAATGGAGGACAAACACATTCTGTGGGCCTACAAAAAAATATGGTATTGAGTTTGCTTTTGTTAAAATCTGACAGAAAAATTAATACTTTATTAAGAAATTCAACTTTCCAAGCTATTATTTACATCATAGAAATAGTATCATGGTGAATTCTGTAATTATCCAAATCTGTCTACTGTAGATCACTTAATTTTCGCGACACCTTATTTTCGCGAGATAGTCATTGACACTTTATTAGCGAGACAAAATTTTCACGAATTGTGGTCATTGCTCTGTATAATCTTAAGGAATTCAATATACGCAAGAATGAAAATTTCGCGAGCATACCTCTCGCGTAATTACGCGAAAATAAAGTTCTCGCGAATAAAAAGTGATTTACAGTATCTAAACTTCAATTATTTTATCAAACATTATAAAAATGAGAAAGTTAAAACAACACCTTCATGATCCTCTTGTGGCTTTTGTTTGGCAACTGTTCCTTATACTTACAGGGAAGCTTTTGATGGCCTCTGGGACGATGATTTTGTATTTCTCGCCCATGTCACACTGATCCTCCACAACACCTGACTCCACTGCAGACTTCAGTCCCAGGAGCTTAGAGTAATACTGTAAGGTCTCCTCACTCAGGGGCACAGGGGACACAAAAATCACATCCACGTTCGGATCTAGAAAAATTGAAATATTTGTTTTCATGTTTGTCTTACAGATTGAAATATTTTTTTTGAAAAATAAAACATGATGTTGCTGATGTTTTTAATTAAAATATTGTTACAAAAAAATTCAAGTATTTTTTTAAGTAAAGCATGGGATAGACAAAGTTAGAATATAAAGAAATGTTATCTTAGTACATGATAATGTTTTCATTCTTAAAATTATTAGGGTCTATACCTCTGATATCACAAAGTCGAGCCATCTGGGTGTTTTGTCTGATTCCAAACTCGTTAATACTGTCTCTTATATCCTGAGAAAGGCCTAATGAAGGAATGTGTATAACAGTCCTACGGTGTTGTTTAATTCTATCCCAGGACATGGCAAGTTTCTGTAAAAAATGGTCATGGAATGCTGTTACACAAGTCAATTCAATTATAAACACATCAATTATCAGATTTATAAATTGTTTAAATCATTGTAAGCCATTGTAAAATACGGAACATGATATGTACCCTTGCTCTTCTTCTAAAGTTTTCTAGATGTTCCTCTCTTGACTCCTTAAGTTTGATCTTGACCTTTGACATCTTGACATGCATTATCCAGGATATTGCTATGACACCCGAGGCCCACTTCCTCTTCCTGTAATCCAGATACTCGGACCGATCTCGGAACATTCTCCAGGACGACTGGATCCTCGTAGCAGCGACATCCTTCCCTCGAGGACCCTTGAATCTGCGACCCTGTTAAATGAAGAAAAATATCTGGTACTGAGGACAACTCAGGTAGTTATACTTATGGAAGAAATGCATCTTCATACTGCTGAATCAGTCTCTAATGCATCTCCCATTATGACTCACACATTGAAGAGAGGACAAGTAAACATAGGGATTTCATCAACATAACTGTCATTTTTCAACTCATCAAAAAATTTTACATCCAAGATGATTAAAAAAGCTGTGTGTAATTGTGTATTGGGTCTAAACTCATGTTTAATCTGTATTGTTAAAGACATATTTATAGATATTTGAGTATGTATTTACAGTAATTTGAGTGTGTATTTTGATGTTTAATTTATAGTTACCGGTACTTACAGGTCTCCCTATCAAGGCTTCTACATCCTCCCTGTTGATGATGACACTTAACATATCATCTATACTGGGCGGCTTCTCCAACTCAAACTCCATAGCCAGGTCAGCTAACCTGAAAGGTTGTACAGCATTCATTGATTGTGTTAAGGATTCTCCATGAATTTTCTAGTCAAGCAATGAAGTTGTTTTTAACCAACAAACCTGTCTCCATTGACAAAGGCCACTGGAATGGTGTAGCTTATCAGCATCTTCTCTATATGTTTGATCATAGTAACAATGCTGCAAGTAGAAATGAACCATTTTAAGTTAATTAGTATGGTTTTGGATTGAAGTGAAATTTTTTTTTGTATCAAATAGAAAATTTTTGAGAATATTTAAATACATGAATATATCTGATAAATCTTGTACATATATTCATATGAATAAAGCTTTCAGATTTAAAATCTAGTAATATAGCAATAATAGTACACAAAACAAAGAGAGTGCCTACCTTCCCCATGTAAGGCAGTAGTGTTGCTTAAATGCAATGAATTCTGATGAGCTATCTCTGGTGCGTCCATTTTGGATAGCAAACCTGTGGGACAGCTGTTTAAAGTCCCCACTGGCCGGGGTAGTGGGTGGGGGCTGGAAAAGTCACAGCAAATTAAGGTAGAAAACAGTAGTGGAAATTATATATAATGGTTATAAACAAATGTTTATAAACATATATTACAAAATGTTACTACTTTAATCAAAATACGAAATTTATTTATTTAAAGACAAAATTTGTCATAAAAGATGGCATTCTGAAAATGAGGAAAAACAGGCAGGTGAATGACTTCTGAAAACCGTGCAGATAAAAAAAATATAGCATAGAATGATCCAAAGACTGCAGATAAAAATGGAAAATCATTCAGTCAACAACAGGCATGTTTCAGACCACGCAACATAATTTTTTCTTATGTCTTGAATCTTAAACTTTCACATGCAGATGTTAATTGATAACTTTTCTAAATCCAATCAGTGAATTGGCATAAAAATTATAATTATTCTCATATTAAGGGGGGACCTATGTCGTTCTACGTCAAGGCAGCGTTATGTGACGTCACAATAGCGACGTTTCTTTTTACCTGTTGACTTTTGCAACTGTGATATAGGCATAACATTGTTGAAAATCAATAACGTACACAATTTACAAAAAGAAAATTTATTCATCATTAATAACAGTTTTATTTGATTTATGGAGTTTGTTAATATTAGAATTCTCTTCCTTTGGTTGATAATTCATAGCAATTTCTGTTGTGAAAAAATACCTCGATAATATTCTAGTGCAAAAGAGACAGAATTCAGCAAAGAAAGCGGCTTAAATCAGGGAAATATGTTTAATTTTTAATAGTTTTTCTGAGAAAACTGAGAAAAATGTTTAGAAATGTACATGTACAGGTGTATATTTGCTTGTTGATTTATAGTACATGTAGGTTTTATAGTATAAATTCATTCCTAGGTTCTAATGGGTGTTGGTTGTTGACGGGGAAATGAAAGGGGGAACAGAATGAATGGAATGAAGAAGAAAATTTATCTATTTTAATTGTTTCTAATCAAAGCAAAATACTTGTTTTTTGAAAAATAGTTTTATATTCAGATGTTTGTCAGTGCTTACTTACCCTTTTTAAGTGCAGAAAGGTAAATATTTATGACACAAGAGTACAAAAATAAAAGAAAACGTCATATTTCTCGTTTATTTTATCATAAAGGTATACTTTTTTCTTTGATAAAAAAAAGAGATGAACCATTTCCTTCAAAAAATATGAATTACAACATTTTCACACAAAGACTTTTCAAGATATTACCTGTTATGCATGTCAGAATTGTAAAAAATACGACAAGAAAAATGGGGTGATACTTATATTGTGCTCCGTTATAATTTTTCATGCGAGATGAATTTCAGTGAATTTGCCTCCATTTTAAAGATACAAGTCATAAAAATTAAATAAGTGTTGAATTTGAATATGATTTGACATTTTTGGTTCTTTTTAGCACATATTTGGGGTAGAAAAATAATGTCTGAAAATAATCTATTTTTAGCATTTCACACTGTTTTTGCACGTGCTCCTGTGTAAAATTTAGCATATAAGGTATTGTTTTTAATACCTAAAAATTAAGAGCAAGTGGTCAGGAAACAAATGTCAAAGTTTTGAAAATTTCACACATATATGGTGAATAGGTCCCCCCTTAATATTATATGAATAATGGTCATTTATTAAATCATTAGAGAGAGAAAAAAACCATGCAATAATCAATATCAATAGCTGTTGTGAAATAAGGAATATGTAACCCAAGAAAAGATTCCCTAAATTCAGAGTAAATATTTTATCAGTCCCAACACAATCCTTTTCCAAATTGTGCTTCATATTTAACACAACCACCTGCCAATTCCACCTCTTTAAAAACAAAAGTCAAGGTATAAAAGCACAAACCAAGAGATGATAATATATTGAAATGTGTGCCATAATAAATGAACTGAATATAACCAGTGTGAAAGTTCAACAGATCTACTCAGAACCTGACAAAAAGTCTGCTTTCTACTGACCCACTGTCCCTTAATGGTTTGGAAAAATTGCCTAAAGTTGTTGGAACAAAGCACATTACAAATTAGAATTACAAATTTAGGTTAACTGCCCTCTTGATTTGATCCATTATTTTTTCACAAAAAGAAGTTACTAAGTATTACAATTGTTAAGCAGACTTTTTGCTTATTTGGAAACCATCAAAATTAACATGTCTACCTCCTTTTGGTCTGGCTGAAAATATCATCACAATTGACATTATTAATAATGTCACTCAGTTATCCTAAATATTTAGAGTGCTACCTGCTATATTTATTCTCTGAATACTTATGCATTACAATTATTATTTCAGTTTTATTTATAAGATAGACTGATGATTTCACTGAGTAAATGCATGAATATCTACAGTTGTCTGCATATACATAAAAATCTTCACCAAATTATCATGCACATTTGACATCTTCACTCAAAATAATTTGAGTAACTTCACTTTTTTACCTATAATTGTAACATCAAAGAAAAAGGTAAATGTATAAAGATACGGATAAGAAATAGTTAAGGAACAAGAGGCCCATGGGCCTTATAGGTCACCTGAGCATTATGCAACAACTTTCCAGTGATTAAATTTGATTCATGTTTTAATCCAGATGCTATGGCATTCACAATTTTGAAATAGGCACCATTGATCATCATAACAATACACTTAGCAGTTGCTTAGTTTGTTTACTTAATACCCATAGACAGGGTAGGGGAATTAAAAAATGCATTTCAAATAATCAGTAATATTCAGCATGATCAGTAATGCCCCAATCACACATGAACCCCTGGCCCTTAGGCCTAGATCCACACATTGCACAATTTTTGAAAAGGCACCCTTGCTTTTCAAAAACATTTTTTTTTTACCAAGAAGCAGATTTCAAACAATTCATCCATATTCAGTATATAAGTACAGTCCCCCCCTCCTTTATGGTACCCCTGACCCTGGGGCCATGAAATTCACAATTCTGGAAGATTAGGACCCTTGCTCATCATAACTACATAGGTAGTTCATCTGCTTAATACCAAGGAGCAGAGAAGAAAACTTTCAAAGATTTAGTGTATTTTCACTGTATAATCAATAGAGCCCCACCCTATCACTAGAATTTCTGACCCTGGGGCCATAAAATTCACAATTTTTATAGAGGCACTCTTGCTCATCATAACTATGCACTTAGTTAGTTTATTTAATACCCAGAAGCAGAGAAGAAGATTTTCAAAGAATTCATGTATTTTCACTATATAATCTATAGAGCCCCCCCCCCCCCCCTTACACCAGAACCCCTGACCCTGGGGCCATAAAATTCACAATTTTGGTAGAGGCACTCTTGCTCATCATAACTATGCACTTATTTAGTTTATTTAATACCCAGGAGCAGAGAAGAAGATTTTCAAAGAAATGTATTTTCACTATATAATCTATAAGCCCCCCCCCCCCTTACACCAGAATGACCCTGGGGCCATAAAATTCACAATTTTGGTAGAGGCACTCTTGCTCATCATAACTATGCACTTATTTAGTTTATTTAATACCCAGGAGCAGAGAAGAAGATTTTCAAAGAATTCATGTATTTTCACTATATAATCTATAGATCCCCCCCTTCCCCTTACACCAGAACCCCTGACCCTGGGGCCATAAAATTCACAATTTTGGTAGAGACACTCTTGCTCATCATAACTATGCACTTTTTTAGTTTATTTAATACCCAGGAGCAGAGAAGATTTTCAAAGAATTCATGTATTTTCACTATATAATCTATAGAGCCCCCCCCCCCTTACACCAGAACCCCTGACCCTGGGGCCATAAAATTCACAATTTTGGTAGAGGCACTCTTGCTCATCATAACTATGCACTTAGTTAGTTTATTTAATACCCAGAAGCAGAGAAGAAGATTTTCAAAGAATTCATGTATTTTCACTATATAATCTATAGAGCCCCACCCTAACACCAGAACCCCTGACCCTGGGGCCATAAAATTCACAATTTTGGTAGAGGCACTCTTGCTCATCATAACTATGCACTTACTTAGTTTATTTAATACCCAGGAGCAGAGAAGAAGATTTTCAAAGAATTCATGCATTTTCACTATATAATCTATAGAGCCCCCCCTTCCCCTTACACCAGAACCCCTGACCCTGGGGCCATAAAATTCACAATTTTGGTAGAGGCACTCTTGCTCATCATAACTATGCACTTAGTTAGTTTATTTAATACCCAGGAGCAGAGAAGAAGATTTTCAAAGAATTCATGTATTTTCACTATATAATCTATTAGCCCCACCCTAACACCAGAACCCCTGACCCTGGGGCCATAAAATTCACAATTTTGGTAGAGACACTCTTGCTCATCATAACTATGCACTTACTTAGTTTATTTAATACCCAGGAGCAGAGAAGAAGATTTTCAAAGAATTTATGTATTTTCACTATATAATCTATAGAGCCCCGCCCTTACACCAGAACCCCTGACCCTGGGGCCATAAAATTCACAATTTTGGTAGAAACGCTCTTGCTCATCATAACTATGCACTTATTTAGTTTATTTGATACCCAGGAGCAGAGAAGAAGATTTTCAAAGAATTCATGAAATTTCACTATATAATCTATAGAGCCCCACCCTAACACCAGAACCCCTGACCCTGGGGCCATAAAATTCACAATTTTGGTAGAGACACACTTTCTCATCATAACTATGTACTTAGTTTATTTAATACCCAGGAGCAGAGAAGAAGATTTTCAAAGAATTCATGAAATTTCACCATATACTTATTTAGCCCCACCCTAACACCAGAACCCCTGACCCCGGGGCCATGAATTTCACAATTTTGGTAGAGGACTCAATGCTGATTACAATCATGCAAACAGTTTGACTGCTTGATGTCCAGGAGTAAAGAAGAAGATTTTTAAAGATTGCACTAATTTTAATGGTTTTTGCCCCACCCCCCAGGCCCCAGGGGGGCAGGGCCCATGAAATTCACAATTTTTGTTCCCCTTCACCCAAAGATGCTATATGCCAAATTTGGTTGAAATTGGTTCAGTGGTTTCAGAGAAGAAGCTGAAAATGTTCAAATGTTAACGCACGACGCACGACGCACGACGAACGACGACGGACGAAAAGTGATAGCAATAGGTCACCTGAGTTTACTCAGGTGACCTAAAAATCTGATAAAATATATAGTGAATACATGCTTACAACAAACAATTAATCTATCTAGGGGGAGAGGAAACAGAAAATTAATATTATCATTTCTAAAGAAAAGGAATTACAAAGGTAACTCATTAAAGGTATGAGCTGTTTTAGTATATAAATAGGTTTGGTTGGCGGGGATATGTTCTCTCACCCCATAATATGCATCCTAGAAAAAAAATTCAGTCAATGTAAGATTTATCTCCCTTGAAAAATACCTCAGCTTTAGAATTAAATATCTCTCTTTTATTCAAAAAAATCAATGGTGTTCATGCATATGTGTTACTGCGGAGTGCTGAGTGCTATCAGAACTTACTGACAATACTTGATTCTTACTTGGGTGATTTTTTATTCAAATCCAAGTGAGCTGCATGTTTATAATCATCAAAATTGATGTACTTGATGGGTATGAAAATTATGATCATTACGAAAAGTTCTAGTAACATGAATGATTCTATCTCCTGAGCTGAATCTGTCAACATACCAGAGGCTGTATTGGCATCTCGTAAGTTTTCAGTGTTGCCGGTGTTTTAACCTGAGGCATTGAGGACGAGGTGACCCGAGTTTTAGCGGACGGTGTTCGGGTCTCTGTGATACTACTGGAGGCAGACTTAGGGTGAGGTGGTACTGCTGGCATTTTGCTGACATCGTTTTTCATGGTAGCTGGGTCAAGCTTGACTCCAGAGAGTAGTGACACTGCCTCTGTATGAATGGAATGTAAAATACCATGAAGTATGATCCTTGCCTTTGTTCACTAATGTGACTTTCTTGGATTTATAAACATTCATATAGCTATTACTTATAAGTAGTTATTACAGTTTTAATGTACTAGTAAGCAATAAAATTATTTTGTGGGATGAATATTCACTATATTCGGATTTCCATAGAGCACTTGAAAATGAGAGAAATGTTGAGTAATTCTGAGGTTGAAAGTTAATTAAATTTACATGTAGAAAAGTTTAATATTTCTATCTCATTAAAAATTCTGTGAATGGGAACCAAATGAAAAATAATTTGCTTTTTCTGAAGAAGGATGATATTAGGAAGGTATATTGTAAATGAGAAATTCTTTGAGTTTGTATCTCGTATTAAATAATAAATTTGGTTTCACATAACATTGAATTTTATGGATCTGAATAAATAAATTTAATTGAACAATTATAGTTATCAATCTTAACAAAATTTATTACCATCTACAAACATTAGAATATCTTTTTCATTGACATTTCTACTATGTACATGTATCTTTAATACGTAATTATACAAGTAAATTTCTAACAAAGAAACTAGCTGGATCTGTACAAATCATTAAAAAATCTGACATTTATTGTATATCAGTAGATTATCAGAAAGATAATCTACACCTGTCTGACTAATACAGAACAGTTATATAACTCCTGTATAAATCTCAGAGCTCGATCACACTTTAATTATTGATATGAGGTCAAAAATGAATAAGATTTAAATATCCTATTACACCTCTCAGTCTATTTAATGTTTTCCTTCCATTTCTGAAAACGTGTGATTAGTTCGGAAGGCTTTTAAATCCCTTGTATGATATAATGGATTCACAAGTCAATAATTGTAACTACCTTTACCTGTAAGAATAGGAAATTCCTTTGATTTTCTCTTTGTGTGTATTGAGGTATTAATGCAACAATTTTACATTTAATACTAGAAGGTGACCAGGCAGCAGAAAAGTATAACATGGCAGTATAAACCCCCCAAAAAAATTCCTAGATTATTAAAAAAAAAAGATACAAAGCTTGGAATAAGTCGAGAAAGCTAGCATCATTTTTTAAAACGGTCTGAAATCTTGACCTTGAGATTTTTGATTTTATATGTAAGAATTAATTTTATATCATGACCATTTGGTTCCCACTAAAATAGTTCATACTAACAGAATAAGCAAATATAGTAAAACATAAGTCATTTACTCAACATATATTTGTCGATATGAGCTGATTTCCCTACTGTACGTCTAAGAATTTATACAAAACACTGATCTAACCTGGTTGTGGGGGTTTGTGTTTGATCTGAGGCTCATGTAGGGGGGCGATCCTGTTTCTTACGGGGGAGGGGTCCAGTGTCAGTTGAGCTGCTGGGGGAATCAGACCCCTCTCTATCAAGCTCATTATCCCCTTTCTGGCATCTTCCTCTGAGATTGGAGGTGGTGCAAGCTACAAGTGTTCAAAATATTTAAGTATTAAGGTTCAATTGTATTTTCATCATTATAACTTTTGAATTTCTGTACAAATATTTCAATCTTGGAATTTGCATAGAGGTATATTAAATGTAATTATATCACATTTTTTCATTAAAAATACATGTATATGAAAATAAGTTTTCAATGAGTTAACAAAACAAAATTCTACTATTTTCAGTTCCTGTCCATAGCTATCAGATAAAGTATCAATAACGAAACTTTAATTATTAAATATTCATTAACTTTGTTGAAAATGAACTTACAAAAATCAATACATGCCTGAAGTATTAAGTAAATATACTACAGATTGTTTTTAAATATGCTTTATAGTGTCCTATTCGAAAATCTATAAAACTGAGATCTCTATAAATAAAGAACATCATTAGAGTACCTGGGCATCCACTCTGTTGGCTTTTGGGAGTACAGCCAGTGGTTCTATGGTAGTACCAATGATTGGTTTGCTGTAGGAAGGTCGGGAGTGTTGTTTGGTGTTAATCAGAGGAAGCTGGATCCCAAAGTTATCATTCAGGGCCTGTCTGTTCATGTTACTGTGGGGGTCAAGGACAGCCCTCAAGGTCAGCATGTGCTTGGCCTGTTGACCTGGTGTAGGCCCTGGCATCTGGACGCTCTGTCTTTTTGGAAGTAGAGCATTACTGCGGGAAGCTTGTGGCTGCCGCATCTTCTCTCTACAAAACCAATATACAGATCTAGTTTCCATCCAGAAAGATATGACAGTTATCCATTTTTAACGTATCTTTAGGAAAATGGTGTGCTACATTACCTTCCCAAGAAACGAGCAGATATCTTTCGGGGGTCTGCACTCTTCTGACTTCGCATGTCCCATGTGGTCTCAATAGCGACCACATTGTTGTCAAATCGGTTGGCTTCCTGGTTGGGTAAAGTCCTCACCTGGTTGTTGTACTGACTTATCACCTGTTCTGTTTTAGCCTTAAGAAAATAATCAAAAATTTTTAAAAATGGAGCATTTATAGAGTAAAGCATTATTAATGTAGCTTTAGGAATCTGAATACTGTTGTCAGTGTCATATTGTTCATCGACTAATTTTGTTTCTGTATATAAATGTTAGGTTATAATATAAGTTACTATTATGTTTTTGACATTATTGGACAAGTAAGACAACTTACTTGTAATCCCTCCTCTGTTTTCACCAGGGCCGACTCCAAGTCTGAGATACTGATTGTCCCCCCTTTGTTGTTTGCTATCTGTTCACGTAAAACCCGAATGTCATCTTGGACCTGGAATGTCAATTAAAATGAGGGTCAGATATGTTTTATCTGATTTTATTTTAGTTAAATTCCTTCATGTACAGTCAAATTAAAGTTAGTGCTAGTAGCCATGCATTGCTTAAGAGGTTAAAAAGTCAAAACTTAATTCTATATTAAATAAAAAAAAATTATGTGCAACTCTGCTGAAGTCTTTGTTTTTATCATTTATGTGTTTACCCTAATATGTAATTCAATTTATAATTTTTAAATATAGTGTGCACTGCCTGTAAGTCAAAATAAAGAAATGGTCTTCATTCCCATTTTTGAAATACAAATACTGTCATAAAAAGTAATCTAAATGTTTCCTGACTAAAAAAACATGCAGATCGACACAAACATTTATATAATCATTTTTTTTCTGAAAAAAGTTTATGAAGCAAGAAAAAAAAATCACAAAATTAATAGTGAAAATAAGATTTTAAAAGTGAGAGTTTTTAATGAGTATTTGAAAATTGATTTAAAAATTACATTTAAATATCTCAGAGACATTAAAATGTTTACCAGTACTGAATATCCTGCTATCATCCAGTTTTTACATATTTATAATACTAGGTTGAGTAACTGCCAAGTATACAAATTTTATCTCCAAAAATTTGACATTTAACTTGCCTATTCATAACTAAACCCCAGTCACCAATCCTAGAATTTCTTTTCATAATTTGCAAGAAATGCTGCCCTCTTAAAATTTAAAATTAAAGAATATTTTAACCCTAAATAATTAGTTTGCAATTGAAATAAACATGTTTCCTCATGATAGGTGACTAGATTTCAATCTAATCAAACTTTATTTTGTCTATAAAATTGAAGGTATTACCAGAAAGAAACAAGGAGATTTCTTACCCCTTGTAATATTACAGGCATTTTAACATGGTTACCACCATTAAAATCAACATCCTCTTTGAACACATTTATCTCCCTTTGAGAGAAGTCCTGGTATGTATCATTTAACTTTGGCAGAAGGGTGGGTCTCCCTGGATCCCCCCAGATATCACTCATCTCTCCTCAAACTACAGACTCCAGTGATACAAACACAGTCTTTCCAATCCTTCAAGTCATTCTGTGCTAAGCAAGCACAATTTGAATATTTAAAACACTTTTAAAAGGATGATTTACATATAACTCATCCATGATCAGCAAATATGAAGGAACTATAAAAATGAAGTTAACTTAATGGAAAATCTCTATAATATGAAATAAACGAAGGTTTTTCAGTGTTTTTCAAAGGCAGATACATTTTTGTAAATGCTAATCCAAGAGCTTCAAATCCACTCAGAAAAAAATTAAAGAACTCCAACTTATTATCCTTGGAAATATAGGCATTTGTGAAAAATTGATTTTTCCTTTCAATTAAGTTGGTGAAACACAAACAGATTTCTGATTAATTCATGGTAAAAATCAAACTGTCCCCAACTTGCAAGATGAGTACACAGGTAGATGGTAACTCTTTACGTCTCCAAGCAAACCCACTAACTTCTTATACCAGCAGAAATATTGATCAATGACATCCAAATTTGGCATGTTTTTGGTAAATGAAATATCTGATCAATAGTGGTTTTATCACAGGTCACAAAACTTTTTAAAATACCAACACAAACAAATAGAATTTAATAGGATATAAGGCGAGCACAAAATGCCTACCAGAATATGATTCTCTCCGCCTCATGTAGGTTATTTAAAAATATGGATCAAGAAATATAATGGCTCTCAGCTTATTATGAAAAGGAGACGCAAGCCCATTGTTGACTGAGTAGAAATCATTTGATGAGCATAACATTTCACTCCTGTCTGGCTACAAGAAATTTTCATCATGCAAATTGCCCATTAAAGTAAAATCAATCAAGATATGAACATCATAAAAATGGTCCATCTATAATAAAATCAATGCTTTGCTGCACATCTCAAAAGACTTGAAAATATTTATAGCTGAGCTAGCCTCAATAATTGAAACATAATGAATTATTCTCTCTCTGAAGTAAAATTGATTTAAATAGTTTTATTAAAGTGAAATTTATTATCATTGCAAAGGTATTTATAATAAACATGTACTTACAGTATTTCATATTTTTGATGCATTGATTTTAAAAGTTCAAAAAATATATACTGACAATATAGAAAGCTAAAATTATTGAATTTCACCTGTCATCAAGCAATGTTGACTGTATGTTGCTTAGTTCTGTCAAACTGGAGGGCATGGTTTCATCATACAGAGGGTAAAAGTGTTTTTTGACAAATAAAAAAATAATTTTCAGAAGTCAAGTAAAATTATTTTTTTCAAAATTTCTATCTTCAATTATGCCCCTAATTTCTTGTCCCACCCTAAGCCACCGGGGACAAGCTATGATTTGACCAACTCACTAGGATATTTATTATGACTTAGATTTTTTTTTTTTCATTGGTGGGATTTCATTCATCAAAACGGCATACACTGAATGCACTGCTTGACCCTTGGGAACAAGCTTTTTTCCCCATTTGCTGGGGAAGGTTCCCCGGCATATGCCAATCTCCCCAGTCTAAAAAGACCGATGAGGAATTCACCGGTCTTAGAAATATAGCGAGAAGATAAATCAATTGTTAAAATCAGATACACTTTTAACCATTTCAACATGTTCTTTAAAATGTTTTCATTTCTTAAGCTAATCTCAATTTATATACCAGTATTTAAAATCTGTTGTTATTTTCTAAATATAACTTTTTTTCATGAATCTCACTGATAAAACCAATTATACTAAAAATAGCACTATTCACTCTCAATTATGGAATCAAAATAGGTATATATTTACAACTATTTACACATAAACTAACAAAACTAATAAGCATTATAATTCAACTTCATCACATATTACTGCTACAGTAAAACAAGCTTTCAACAAAGTGCTAGGGACAGGAAATGTTGCTTTGTTATGAACATAATTCATTATAGCCATAAACTTTACAATATATATTATGTTTAAAACCCACAGGGAATGGAAATCAGTTTGCTATAAGGGTCAATTCAATATAATTTGTTATAGCCATATAAACTTCACAAAATATTATGTTTAAAACCCTGGGTAGGAAGGTAGGTGGAATATTTTTTAATCAAAAACACTTGCAAATATGAAATTAAAATATCTATGACTGGGAATATGACTTTGAAATGATTAAAAAAAATTGTTTTCTGGAGATTAAAAAAGTTATGAGTCAGAATTTACTTTCAAGCAAATCATAAAGAGTAACTTTGAATAAGTGTATCTTCAGATATCAGACAAGGGGGCTTGTCCACTAGCTGAGTCTGATATGTGAAGATGCATGAGTTGAAAGGTACACTTTATATGCTTTAATTGTATCATTGTTCTCAGATACTGGGTTACCCATGATCTATCAATTTCTTGTTAACACTATATTCTAATGCAACCGATCTAGCCATGATCTATCAAAATTCATAATACCATTTTATGTGACCAATGAAAAAAAGAGCATGTGATTTGAAAAGTATAGTATGCTGTATTTCTTGTAATTTCTACCTCGCCCACTGAATTCTGAAAGTTAATTGTAATTAAATGCTATCACATTTCTTCAACATAAAGTGAAAACCAAAATTATGATGAATAATTCCTTAGCTCAGCTAGGAAACAAAATACAGGTTGAGGATTCTTTGCATTTGGGAAGAATGATACTTCATTTAATGGGACTAAAAATTGAATTAACCTATCATGGGCTTCGAAATGGGACATATGTATCCAAGTTACCTTTTCTTTACATTAATTGTATGCTACCTTCAAGATCACAGATTTACATTTATACATGATATAGTACCATTTGTTTATATATATACATATATTTGTATGTAAATTATTATTTTTGTATGCATGGATATGTGTAACAATAAGTGTATGTTTGTGTATGTGGGTATGCATGCATATATTCAGATTAGAATGTTAAATATCTATTGAACTAACTCCAAGAGATTAGTTTGCATCAAGTCTATGATTATATGCTAAGTACTTATTAATTGAAATTACTATTTCTGATAATACTTAAACAATTTTTTTTTTTTGAAATTTTCCTTATATATTGTGTTTAATGGTTTGGCTGTGGTGGATATTGCCCTTTGTAGCTCAGTTGTTATATATCCTGACTAGCCATGATGCAAGATTTTTTTTTTTTTTAAATTACCTTATATCTATTATTTTATTTAATTGTGTTTTCCTGTTATCCCATGGTTTTCTATGCTTTTGAAAGTCCTCCAATGTGGTGATAAGCACTTGGGTCAATGTCAAACCTAATCACTAGTCATGTTACATTATACACCTAATATAGAATTGTAATCAATGTTATCATATTGTAATAATTTGTTCATGCCCCCCATGGGCCCTTGATTGGTGAATAAACATATATATATATATTTTAGACAAATGAAGATTGAGTTGAGTGGGTTAAATATTTTTTCCTCTTACAGATTGAGACAAAGATGATTTTTTTACAGAGAGACTGTTATTATTATAATATTTCACATTTGATTGACTCTCCATCATAAATCATATACTGATTCAAGGATTTGGGATTGTCATTCCTTCAATTTTTAAAATTTTTCTCAAATTTTCCTTATATATTGTGTAATGGATTGAGAAGTGGATATTAGCCAACATTGTCCAAGGGAATGTTGAAAGATTGCATATATAGCACTTGTACAGACTTGGTGCCGTTGACCATCCCTGGACTTGCAGGTGAAAGTCCTGCCAGGGGTAAATAAGAACTTGGGTTGTGTCTTTGCGGGTGAAGACCATTTAAGGAGATGGAATGTAATGGTTTAATTAACAAAAGATTATAAATCTGGGAAGAGGGCACAATGACAAAGATGCTGCAAAGAACTTGACCTTCCTTTATTAGAAACCAGACGCCAACAACAACGTCTGATCTTTTCCTCTTACAATTGTTATGATTTTTTTTATTAAACCCAATCAATACATAAGATTCAATTTTAAGCAGAAAAGAAACAAACCCAAATGTAAACATTGCAACATATATATATAGCAGCTATGAAATACAGAGCAGTAGAAATACCAGATGCAAAGACAGATCAATTCAATAACTCGTTCTTTGTGTGTGTTAGAAGACATACACACACCCTCACAGTCACACACACATACACACACTCACAGTGACACAAAGAGATACATATCCCATGTTTTTTTTACGATCAAGTAATGAAGTTAGCACTGCATGAAAATTGTTCTATAACAAAAATAGATTATAGATGTGTTAATATTAATGTCTTGTGGTCCTTGAATTGAGTGCATTACCTTTAGCAGGATTTGTCCGACCTCCTCTGGTCTTGCCTCGAATTCCGTCATATTGTCTGCTAAATGATATTACAAGGGGGCTTGTATTTGATACCTAAAACAGTAAAATTAACCCCCTTTTATGGTAAACATGCATGAAAACCCGCCATGTTTGTTTCTCCAGCAACACATACAACAACGAAATCGATGACGTATAACACATTTCCGGTTGAATTATGTCCACCAACTCGGCACTGTTTACGTCGTGTTGTAAGCATTATGATCCAGATTTGTTAATCAAAGGTAGAAATAATGTGTATAAATTTTACGAAGGCTTACTATTTTTTATATACATTTTAAAGAAACTGAATAGTAACTGACAGTTTTATAAGATATCAGTTATCCGAATTTCCTCTCAAAGTTATGCTGGTTATGTCAGTATATGACATGTCGAAAGTGATGATGACGTTCCGACTGTGGGACAGACTACAGCAATTTAAAGACTTTTATTTCGCCTGTCAGAAACGTAAATAACATTGTAATTCATGTCTTAAGTATGGGCTAATCAGTAGCATAACATGCAGAGTGATATCAGTTGACTACATTTGCTTCGGACCACATTTGCTTTTATTATTTATAAGGCAATAATGATTATTTTGTTACATATAAACAAAAAATTAATAAATATTGATGACTTTAACTGTTCTAGAGCCTAGATACCGAATAAAAATGCCATTTGCTTTTACAATTTGAGTCAGTAATAATTATTTTGAAAAATCAAGAAGCGTATAGTAGCTGTAGAATTGTAACTCTCTGAAAAATAATTTATTGACAGACTGGAGAGCACACACAAATTGCACTGTGCATGCTTTTTAATATTTCTCCGTGTTATTCAAACTAACTCAGAATATAACTTACTGTTTGTTCCCAATGTATTCTTTTAATATTTTTCCACAACAAAATTATTAAATACTCTCATGGTGCTGAAATTGAAACCATTTAAAATTTTGCATATTTACACTAGATGGCATTTTGGGTGGCAAGATCATTATTCAAACATGCTCTGTGCAGATATCAAATATCAGAGTAGTTGTTAGGGGTGACAGGTCAAACCATCGAAGGAATATTTCGAAATTGAGAAATTGTGCAGTTGAGGTTAGAATTTGGAGAAATCAATCCAAAACTAAGCTCAACTTTTTGTTTGCAATTCAATAGTATACTTTTTTTTGAAATTGAGATTTTTTTACAGCTTGAGGTCTGCACCTAGAATTTGTAAAATTAATGACTCAAAACAGAGCATATTGATAATATGTTGTGTTTATTTTTCACTATATTCAATATTCAAATGAAAATTTTTAAGAACCCTCTCTACACTGCACACTAGTTCTGATGTATTTTTTTGCAGTTAGAGCTCTCTGGTCTAAATTCTTAAAATTAGAAATTCACAGTTTATTACACAATTTGTTATCAGTTCAGGTATTCTTAACATTTTAAAAGGCCAAGATAAATTAATTGAACATGTTATTTACATGTATTTTCTCTATGGAAGTTGCAGTGTAATACTGTGTTGGTAAATGCCAAACTCATATGTTGAAAATCATATAAATAAGCTAAATATAACACCTTTATAGAATATATTTTTTTCAATATCCAAAAAAAATGTGGTGTTTTCTTATAGCTTGAATTATTCAAATGTTTACTATTGCTTATTAAATCATAAATATTTTTATCATGATAAATAAAAATGAAATTTTCAGATTAAATTTGAACATTTTGAAATAATAGGTTGTCAAATTTCCTTTACTTTTTTGGTTTTCTTGGAAATGGCAAAATGCTAATCTTAATCCTTTTTTATGGATTAATCTTATTATTATAATAATTAGTATGTAAAATATTTTAAAAAATAAATGAAATACAAATTCAATATATAAAAAATTTGAATGTTATAATATAATGAATTTAAAATGTTTCTGGTTTTAACCATATGAAGACATTTTATAAAATATTTTTTCTAGAGATTTTGGATGTTGAAAGTTTGCCAACAAGTAATAAGGAAATAGAAGATATCGTTAGTTATAACTGGAAGATTGACACAAAGTACTATACTGCTGATATAAAGTTATGTACAACAAAGAAGCGGACAGTTGGAACTGCTGAGTTTGCTGAAAGTGTCCAGGCGGCAGTCATATATTTTAATGCAAGCCAGGTACATGTCACAGTAGCACACATCAATAATTGTTTAATGCCTATTGTAATAATGTATTACATTGTATTAAAATTCTGGAATCATTTTCAAAGTAAAGTAGTACATCTAGACTGAATTCCAAATCATAACATTTATAACGTTTATATGCAATTTTCCTTAAATTTCCAGGCAGAAAGTTTTGATTTAGCAAAAGCATGGTTGCCATACTTAGAAGAAATATCACCAGCAATACAGTTACTTGTATGCAGAAACATTCCCCAGAGTCAAGGTATAGAGTGGACTTTTCTTATTGGTTTGGTTATATATACGTGATATTTAATGTACATATATGTATGTATATATATATATATATGTGATAAAATGTACAACACTATCAAATCAATTTTCAATTTGATACTGTGCATGTAGACATAGTAGATATGTAAGAACTGTTTATAATTAATATAAAATGAAATAATGTATTCTGGAAGTTTTTATCAAGAAATGATTTTTATGATGGATTTTGGTATTTTAAAATTTACATTTTTTGTTTAAATTTCTAGCTACTCATCGACACAATGTACAGAAATGGTGTTTAGACAATGACTTTGAATTAGTGGAGCTAGAACCAGAAGTGAGACAAGATGAAGATGGTAAGTGACTTATATCAGTAAATGCCAAAATAATAGAGACATTTTTGATGGCAAAGAAACAGTAAGCCTCAAGGTTAATCTATTCTGAATATATTTCCTTGCAGATGATTTTCAGGAGACCACAGGAATCAAAAGAATTATCCAGGCTCTTCATGCCCATATGTGGCCAGACATGGTTCTTAAGGGTAAACCAATTTATAACAAATAACAGTTACCAACCAATTGTTATTATGTTGCTATGTTCTATTAGTACACTCTTATTCTGCTGAAAGCTATAATACCGTTCACGTAATGCTGGTGAATCAATCATTAAAAAAACCTTCATGACTGTAATTTTGTGACTTGCCTCAAAAATTAATTTTCAATTTAAATTGAAAGATGTTTGATCCAGTTCAAAATGTAAATTTACCATAAGTTTAAGAACATGTTATTTCAGAGAACCATCACACAGTTAGTCCGTATATGAGGAAACTAATGGAGGAGGAATCTTTATCAAAGAAAGAGCAAGAGTCAGAGGATCCTTCCAAGGGGGATAACTCTTCATTAAAAACAGATAGGATGAAAGATGGTTCTCTGGAATCTGATAAATGTGAAAAAGAGACAAATGGGCAGCTGGAAGAAAAAGCACACCTGACAGCAGGAAAATCAGCAACTGTAGATCCAGATAAGGAAAAGGCAGCTACACATTCTACAAAAGAGGAAAATAAACTCTTAGGCAATGCTTGTTTGTTGAAAAACAAATCATTTTTATGTATATAAACTAAATATATATACAAAGCTTGTTTACATTTTTAGTTATTCATGATTAAAAATATTATGTAGTAACATTATGCATCTAACTAAAAATCACACATTAATTCTAAAACATGGCAATGTACGATAGAATCATGTTAGTAATTAGTTAAAAACTGTGAAGTACATACTATGTGAATATACAAATTTGTTTTAAATGTTTTTGAAAAGGGGACCTACTCCCTGACGATGACGTTGCCTTGATGCAGGCTCTGTGTTCTGAGGAGGAGGAAGCAGAATCATTTGAACAACTTTTCTCCAAGTTTAGGCTCATGAAAGGTAGGTTGTCTAGTTATGTTTATAAGATATCAACAAAGAGGAAGAATATTCAACATTACTGATGTACTGTATTATTTGTGTCATCTTTTATTTGCGATTTGTCAGTTTGATATCAATCCACGATGATTAATTTTTCTGACTGAGAAAGCATTCTTTCACCAATATGAAGGAAAATAAATGGTTCATGGCAATAAATATTTGCAAATTAAAATAGGTCGCGGGATTCGCGAATACATGTTTTTCTGGCACATAAATAAAAGTTGGTTTACAGTAATGTCATTGAGTGATAAAAAGCTATAATTTACATTTAATTGAACTCAAATTATTAACATGGAAGTTAATTCTTCTTCAGAAAAAGCTGAGTCCCTACCACAGGAAAAGAAGAAAAAATATGCTGAAAAGGTAAGTTTGTAATTCATACTGTTAAATACTTATAGAATGAATTTAAAGGACATCTGAGCATTTATATTTACACACATAAATATTTTAGGAATATATTTTAAAGAAAGCAAACTTATTCTATTGTAATCTGGGTTTGGACACTTTATGCTTAATGAACCATGAAGCAGCTTATGAAAATAAGAGTAATCTGTTCCAACCCTTGAGTTAATTTTTATGCAAAAAGTTGCAGATTGCAACCAAAGTAGAATTATATGTGAATATCTTTTATTTCCTTATGTGTTAATAGGGAAATATTATTACATGAATTTCTTTGAAAAATACCATTAATTGTATGAATATCTGTTCATAAATTGCCAGGTTCTATAAATAACAACATAATCATGTGTTTCTGTTTGTCAAATGCTTCTTTTTGAGTACAAAAGAGACATGTTTCTGATGCAGTCTTTTTATTGGTAGGTTACCCTGGCATTCTGGAAAGGCATTGGTGGAGACGAGGATGAGATTGGTATCCTTTCTGACCTTAGTGACTCTGAAATGCCATAATGTCATACAAAAGACGTAGAAAGTGGCATAAACTTGTCCTGTACATACCAAGAGAATGCCGGCCAACGGGCTGAGTCCACTCTTCATTGGCATAGCAATACAGAAAAAGAAGACTGTGATAGACATGGTCTATTCCTGGATTCGCCATAAACTGAAACATTATTCAGTGATAAATGTATCAACCACACAGTTTAACTTAACTATTCAGATTTGAGATTTAAACAAACTGATTCTGGAATATGAAATGCTGAGATTTCTGTTTTGTCAATATAAATGTATATATATATTGTTACGTTGACAAAGATTGGTGCCTTGCTACTGTATATCAATGATTTAATAAAAGAGATATAATAAAACCCCATGAACTTTAATGGTCACTTGAGTAACGAGTGTCTCAGGGTATGAAACTTTTGAGCTTATACCTGGAACTGTGGCCCTTTTCACGAAAAATCTTCCAACTAAGACAAAAACATCCACCATTCTACAACAAATATATAAGCTGTGAAAATCTTATTTTTGTATTTCATTATGTTAATATTTTATGCTTAAACTTAATTAATTAGAAAATATATTTAATATATAAAAAAAATTACTTCAGGCCTGCAACTGGCATGGACTTACATGAAATGAATTTTATTCCCTTATTGTAGTAGAAGAAAAGGCACCATGTACTCAATTTAAATATGTACATGCCTGTGTATTAACAATTTTACTCTTGTCTGGGGACTCTTCTTAACATGTTAGGGACAAAGAAAGGGGAATCTTTACATAACAATTAACACCATTTTTGATTATGTGAATTGGAACTCTCCGTTCCTGAAAAGTAATGGAGTGTTCAAAGAACAATGATTTCACAAGTGGATTTTATTGTTCAATAAATACCCACCTTAGCCAACCCTGGTGCTTCCAACAGCATAGCAGCCATGTAAAGCTACACTTTTGAATGGAGTTAGCATAAATATTTGATGCCAAGTACCAAAATCCAAAATGGCCTCCTTTATATCGAAATCTTTTTTTCTTTTCATTGAAGCTAATAAAACAAGAAAAGTTTTTAAAACACTTGTCCCCCTCCCCCAAATTGGAATTTTTCCAAGTCCAATAGGGCATATTGTGCGATCATATCCAAAACAAAACTTGACCTAGATATTTATCTGATAATTCTGTATACTAAATTTCATTTCAGTATGTGCAACCTCTGCAAAGAAAATAAACTGAAAATGCAAACGATTGAAATTTTTCTACATGCAAGTCCAAGAGGAATAACTGCCAAATGGTGCGAGCATACCCAAAACAAAACTTGACCTAGATATTTATCTGATAAATCTGTGTTCCAAATTTCATTCAAGTATGTACAACCTCTGCAAGGAAAACGAACAGAAACTTCTTCGAAAGGGGGCAAATATTACCTGTATCTGGGAACTATAGCTCAAGATCTTCCCCTATCTTAATTCTCAAGTATTATTGAGGAGAAAAAAAAATGCTGAACAATGGAATTTGATAAAATTTATTCAGTTTGCATGCCACATAATTCAGAACAGACACAAAATGACAAGATCCTTATATTTTAAACAAAATATATATATTAATGTACATTGTAAATGTAGTAACACATCATAGATGTTTATAGTTTCTTGGTGACTGAAATAGATCACTATAACTATTTTTATGCATAGCACTGTTTTTTGTGTAATTCATATTTCTGTGTAGATATATACTGAGAGGAAAAAGAAACGCAGGGTAGCATAATATTGGATAATTATTTTACTACAAAACCGAAAATTATGAAAATTGGTCAGAGTGGTCTTCTTGTTATTGTGCACCGGGATCGGTGTCAAAAATCAGTCAACCGTGAAAACTATTGCGCCGCTTAGGCAAAATGCCAAAATGCGAAAATCACGTGCAGATTATTGATTAATCGATCGTTTTGTCATTTTGTCATACCAATTGATACTCCAGAGATATACACATCAGTTTTCAGTAAAAGAAGTAAATTTTGTTGTTTTGCAGTCATGGTGCGTTTGACTGAAGTTCATAGGGGTCAGGCCATTGCACTGCTAATGCAAGGTCAAAGACAACAACAGGTTGCATTGCAGTTTGGGGTTAATCTCTCTACGATAGAACGTCTTGTTCGTCGTTTGAGAGAAACTGGGAGGATTGCCGATCGGCCGAGACGAGGACGTCCGCGCGTAACGTCGCGACGTCAGGACAGAATAATTCGTCTCACCCATTTGCGTAATCGTTACGTAACCGCTACTGAAACGGCTAGAAATACAGTTGGCAATCATAATCGCCAAATTCACCCTAAAACTGTGAGAAACCGACTGCGTGAGTTTGGTTTGCGAGCTCATAGGCCTTATGTTGGGATTCCTCTTACTCCCGTACGTCGAGCGCGTCGTATGGCTTGGGTGGTCGCCCATGGGCCTGGGCAATTTTCTTTGAGGCAATGGAGACGGGTGTTTTTCATAGATAATTCGAGCGGACGGTCGACGTCGTGTATACCGACGTCGTGGGGAACGCTTTGCCGATGCGTGCGTCCTTGAGAGGGATAGGTTTGGGGTGGGTCAGTAATGGTCTGGGGTGGGATTTCCCACGGGGTAAAGTCACCCTTGATTGTGGTATGGAAATTTATAGATATAGGGATGAAATTCTCCGCCCGGTTGCTGTTCCATTTGTGCAACGACACAACTTAATTTTCCAGCAGGATAACGCCCGACCTCATGTAGCCAGAGTGTGCCAAGACTTTCTAGCAAACAATAACATTCAAACACTTGATACAGTCCAGATTTGTCCCCAATCGAACATCTGTGGGACGAACTGAAGGGGGCGCCCCAATTCTCCTGTTACTCTCGACCAGTTAAAGATTGCCTTACGTGAAGAGTGGGATAATATCCCCATGAGAAGGATAAATGGCCTAATGAACTCCATGCACAAGAGAATCAGGGCTGTGACAGGTGCGCGAGGGGGGCATACAAGATATTGAGTCTTTCATTTTCACTTTATGGGGGGTACCATCGAATGGACTTCCATAACTAATGATTAATCAGAAAAAAATTATTGAAAGTCTGTCAAATTATTGAGCATAGATGTGTTAATATGATTTATAAAGATCATTAGGAAAAAAATAGACGAAACTATATTAAACAACCTCAGAAGTTTACCCTGCGTTTCTTTTTCCTTTCAGTATATTTCAACCTGCATGAAAATTTAATACCATCTTCAAAAGTTAGTTGTTAGACTTGGTGAATTCCTAGTTTTAGATACAACACAATACCAGAACTCAATAGTGACATATTGCTATAGGAAAATGCTTCAATAAATACAGTTAATATCTTTAGGTGTAAACAAAAAAAAACCCTAAACAATAAACACTCTAAAAAAAATGATTATTCAGAAAAATACTGTATTCTTAATCCAAATTTACACGTTACACATGTACATGTACTTACATGTAGAATAAACCTAAGCATTTCATGAAAACACTGAAATATATCACTAGTCGGTCATACATGTACAATGTATTAATTAGTTATAAAAATCCAATTACTTATCAACATACATGTATATATAAAACACTACAAATGAAAAATTACCATATACTGACTTGTCTTACATCAGTGTTACATGTAGTTTTCAGATGCTGATTATAAAAACTATACCAATCAATGATTGTACCAGACACTACATATGGATCTGAAATAAGGAATACGAGGGTTGTTAGAAAAGTTCGCGGACACATTGAATTACGGAAAATCTATTGTGTACTGTGAAGTATGACCTATGTCCGAGTAAATTCCTACATTTTGTTTATTTGTATGTAAAAAATCAGGTCCATTTACTACAATCTTGAAAATTTACAACGACTTTTACTATGAGGTCATGGGATTCACGGAGCAATCACTTGACGTAAGGCGACGTGACAGCCAGATATCAACCCGTTAAGCTTTGTCGCAGTTCATTAAATCTTTCATTTTTTCAACATTTTCTTATCTTTTTTCTACTCTAAATTTGAATATCTATATCAAGATATGTTACTTTTCTACTATAATGTCTTTTGTACTGATTCGGATATTATTGAGATCTTTGGGAAAAAAGTCTACGCAGTTAATCGATTATAGGTATGGAAACTATGCAAAACCATAAAGGCACAACGTCCATGCAATAAAGGGGTATTGAAATATCGATGGGGTTAAACATTCAAAATGTTAATCCTTACATTCTTATAAAGCTACAACCATTTGAAAACTGTTGTCCTATGTATGTGTGGGAAATTTCCGGCAGCATCTTGCACATTTTAATCTCTTTTTAGACATTTTCCTGTCTGCATACATAAATTTTACGTAGCGCAGTGCTCCATGACGCTCAATAACGTTCCGATTTTTGGCTGTGTTTTTATGTGTTGATCATTTATAAATGGCTATAAAACAGTCATATACCCTCCAATTTGATCCATAATTTCTCCCAGTGATGTTTCATGGATACTTATGCGACAGGTAAAATATAACAAATCTCTTTGCACTACAATTGTGCAATTTTTAATTTTGATAAAGAGTCTATGTGATGTAAACGTGCCAAAATGTAGCATGCTCCGTGAAGCAAGATTTATCAAAATAAAACAGTTGTATATTTTTCAATGAGCACCGGAAAGCACCAAAGTTTTGTATATTTATTGGAAAATAGGTTAAGATTTTATCTGAAAAGTTTGGACTGGTTTCTTGAAAATAGCGCGCTCACAATAGAACTTGTCCACGAACTTTTCTAACACCCCTCGTACATCGTACAAATGAATTATATACAGTAAACCAACTTTAATTTGTGTGCGAGAAATTACAGAAAGGTTTGCGAAAGCCTCATCATTGCAAATATTTCTCGCTGTGAACTGGTCCTTCAAGTCTCTGTGTATATTAACAACAGATTTAAAAAGGCTTGATCATGAAAATTAATGGTTGCAAACTAGTTTACCCTCGGTAAATCGCAAATAATAGTCTTAGAAATTTTTTTTTAGCAAGACTATTAAAAGTTGGTGTGCAGTATCCTGTTTGTTTTCCATTTCCAAAACATAAAATCATTATTCTCAAAGATATTCTAGGTATATATAGTAAACACTGAATTAAGCAGCCAAAGCTGAAAAGGGTTCCTATCTACTCTACTATTTATGTTATGAAAACATGTTTCAATACTCAGTCAGATTTAAGAGCTTCAGAATCAAATGTGGCCAACTTTTTCCAATGCCAACTTACTTTCATTTCCAATAAAATTGATATTTCCACAGAATAATCAATCTTCATTAAAAATTAAACTTGACATGAATTAACATTTCTCATAATTTATGTTTAAGGTAAGTAAATTTTTGTTGACAAGATCGTTGTGTGAACACTTTATTGTCGTTCTAAAATCTTATTTGACATGATGATTAATTGCAGAATTACTAAAAAAAAATTTGAAAAAGTATGAATGATTTACCTAGTATACAGCTAAAAAAATTACGAGAAAATAAACATTTATTATTTTATAAAGTGGCAGATATTGCTAAGCAAGAAGGAAAAAAATATGCTGTGCTTGTAAACATTTTATACTTTAGTTTACTGTCCTGTGTCTGACAAACTCAAAATTCTATAGTTTAATATTTACAGTAATAATTTGTAATGTTATACTGATTTTTGTAAAAGAAACCGTTAAATTAACACTTGTGACTATAATACTACGAAACTCTTATGTAACTTTATGATGAACTAGTAAAAAGACTCTAAAATTGATTTTATCAAGCATGCTCTATCCAACATGTTCTACTTTTTTCAGCTGTATATCAGTTTATTTGATATCTTAACTATGCCAACATAAGAATGTAAATTATTTCTTTGAAAAAAGTAAAACTGATAGCATGAGGACCTGCTCACATGCATTGGTGCTTGTTCTTAATGAAATTGCATAATTACATGAAATTTATTTTACAATCTATGAAATATGTTTATACTCGGGTTCAATGAAAGAAATTTACTACATATTTCTTAAAAGCCTGTGGTCCCAAAACGGACACAATACAGCAATGGATAGCCAGAAAACAATATCAAAGGGATCTTCAATACCATAGTAATTCATGAAATACATCTAAACTTAAAAAAAGAGTATTAATAATATACCCTGCCAGTTAAAAGTCCTGACATAAAAACAATGATTATTTACAATGATAGTATGTAGTACACTAGTCTTTCATATTAATGGTTAAAATTAAATTTGAAATTACTGAAATTAATCACTTTCTGAGAGATGAAGAAGGAGTTCCTCTTCTGACATTTGATCACTAGATGATATATTAATGTCTCCAAACTTCTTTGCTGGACTTGTCAAAAGTGGAATGATCTGGCTCATCTCTGAGCCATTTGACTGATTGTCTAATATTTTATTTACATTAACAAATGGAATCACTTCACTCATCTCCCCATCCTGAGTTGTTTCAGATCCCCTGCTTGGATGGTTTTGAAGACTACCATTTGTGACCTCACTTCCTGAGGTATTTCCAGAAGTGCAGGAGTCCTGAGAACTGTTGGCAGTCACTAAGCTGTGGAAGGTTGGCTGGTTACCGGTATTGTTGATGGGAATGTTGCCATGGCTGCACATTTTAGGGGGTGACGGTAAGATGGGGGAGGGTGCATGTGAGGGACTAGACACTGTTTGAGAGACTAGACGGCGTGCAGGAGACTTGGGAATGGCTGAAAAAAGTAAATGAACTCGCCATATATATTGCAACATTGGATCAAATTTAAGTTAAACAAAGGAATAAAATTCAAAATTACCTTCATCTAATAAAGCTTATGTTTAAATATCAGTAAAAAATACTGCCAGTGTAAGCATATCTCGGATACATTGTGGAGTCTCTCTTAAGCATATCTCGGATACATTGTGGAGTCTCTCTTAAGCATAATCTCTTTTAAGCTAACCTGGAGTCTTGAAGACTGAGTGCCCGGCATGTTTATTAGCTCTCCTCTCCATGGCCATTTGGCGACTTCTCTCTAACCTCTCCCTCTGCTCTGGGGTTAGACCCTAAAATCAGATTTATGATAAATTACATTGCTGTAGCTGAATACAACATTAAATGTACAGGAAAGAATCATGCTAATATATCTTGTGTGGATTTAGTCTTGTGATAGTTTTGTTGATAATTGTTCTTAATAAATTCTATCATTTCTTTCTGTTAATCATTATTTCTAGAAGCTGATATGAAATTCAGCCAGATTTAGAGCTTGCTACAAAAGAATAACATTAAGATGTATAGCAGAGGAGTAATCATGATACATGTACTAAGTATTATGTATTTGGAAGAAAAAAAATAATAGCCTCTTTGACAAATAATCCCCAGTTTATGTGAACTTAGCAGCCTAGGACACATAGATATGCACTCACCTGTGATACCCCAACACTGCCGTTCACGGCTTTGGAGGTAGAAGGGGTGGAAGAGAGGGGTTGGGAGAGCTGGGTCTCCAACATTCCAGACCGTGGGGTCTCCCTAGGGGATGAGGAGGAGGAGGGGGGACTGGACCCATTCTGTTGTGAGGCATGCTTCTTCCTCTCCTCCGATATCATCTCCTCCCACGCTTCCTCTGCATCAATGTCAAGGTCCTATAACAGGTCAATGAGGAAAAATTACATGAAGCACCACAGGACAAAAAATATCAAAATCTTGTAGAATTTTGGTTAAAATAAAAACCAAAGGCTAAAATCTTTTAATTTTATAGATGTTCAAATCATTGTCAATGGCTCATGTAAGCTAACAACTCCACTGAGTATGAATACATGTAATAAAGAAGAAAATTTTGTTGTAATTAAGTGCTCTCTTTTCTAGACTTATTTTCAGCTGAATCTTTTTTTGTGAGCTAATGTGTGTTTCTGGTGCTGACCTTTCCATGTCCACTAAGTACACATGTACTACCACACTGACCTGAGATGCCTGGCCTGCTTCTTCTTCCTCTTCAGCGTCATCTCTCACAAAGTCGTCATTCAGGATCGGCATATCAAGACGCATTCTCTTTATACAAGTCTACAAGCAGTACAATTTCAGTTTTGTTAATATTAGCTCTGCGTCAAAACGTGGACATTAATCTTCTGACTGGACTTTTCTCCTGTATTTCTGCATAATATTTTTCAAAAATATTTATCTAACTCTAAATATAACATGCCATTAAACCTTTCTCACCTTGACTTCGTTCTTTGTTCCCAATTTCTCAATTCTCTCCAGTACTTCATCAAAAGGCATTTTAGGAAACAATCTATGAGCCCAGTGCTCCAGGTACCTCATTATAATCTGCAGGTCTCTGGCCTGTAAATATCAGTTCGGTTTATAAATCTGGGATGATATAATAAATATGAGCTCATGGACCAAAACACTCAACTGAGTCAATATTGTTCCTTTTTTTTCATAAAAGATTTTCTCTATCATATATACAATACCAGAGAATACTTCCTTATCAATATGATTAATCATGACATTACTATTCTTAGAACATTTTTACTTATCGCAACGTAAAACTTTGATCTCCAATTGTGGCCCCTCCCTAACCCCTGGACTCAAGATTTGAACAAACTACCTGAGGCTGCTTCAATATCAATATGACTAATCAAAGGATGCCCATCACTATGAAACATATACTCTCTGAGTAATCAAGACATGATATTCGATGGGCAGAAAAGTATGATTGAGAATTATTAACATTCTGGTTGAGCAAATGGAAATTTGAAAAAAAGTTAAAATGGTGTATTTAAAATACCAAGTGTGTACATAATGATGATATGATATAAATGTAGGCTAGAAGAATCATCAACCAATGCAGTTATCACTTCTCAACAGAATTGAAAATGTTATTTTGAATAAATTCAAATGAATAGGCCACGATTGATAGCCCCCCCCCCCCCCCCCCCAAAAAAAATTTTTTTTACTATAATCCTTTAGCAGCTAAAAATTTGCATGAATGGGAACCTATTTTGCAGATCAGTGAAGTAATTTTCATGACTTAACACTACGCAGTGGTCAAATACAGGTCATATTCAGCTAAAGCTGACACATATCTTTAAGCCAGCCATGAAAAGAAATAATTCTGCTTTAGTGATCATCAATAATGCTGAAAGCTGACCTGCCAATACAAATCACATTGCTATGCTTGAAGAAGGCGGTGAGCTCATTCGGCTACCCATTACCATGATTACAGCAGTTTAATAGTTCACATTCAAATTCCTTTACCCATTCTTACAGATTGTCAATTTATTATCATAACCTCTACTTAGATCAGCAAATGACTTCTGGCAAAAGTAAACTGTACTTCTGAGGTCAGGTTGGTATTGTTAAAACTGACAGGTTGTATTTACCTCATGGCCTTGTCCTTTGAACTTCACATCTTGGAAAACCTTTGGTAAAATAGGTATTCCTCTTTCACCCGTCAACCTGAAAAATTGTTTTCAGAAATGAAAAAAAAAGGAAAACAGCATTGTAAAAAGCCATGACATTTTATAAGCTTTTATGGATAATTTCTTTTTAAAAATGAAATATTCAAAAAATTGCAAGTTTGAATGAAATGAATTAATAGTAAATAAACTTTTATTTAGATTATACAGTTAACTTCCATTAATTTGGAAATATTTTCCCTTTTTTTTTTTTCATCTTTTTTGTTTGTTTCTTGGCCAATCATACATTTTGAAATTCTATTTTTTTCTTTAAAAAATGAACATACATTTTGAATTATAGACAAACTGCATATAAAGCATTCATCCTGACTGAGTCAAAATTAACAAATGACAAATGGAATCCTATTAGAATCTGCTTTTCCCTGGTGATGAGTATCTGAGTAAAAAAACTGACAACATTTGTCTATAATGAGCATGATGAGTACAAAGACCAATATGATTTGTTATTTGTTATTTTTTTTGTATGGATGGGGAGGGAGTGAAACAGAAACTTTACTTTGGAGAAATCTATACTTGGTTGACAATGTCCACATTCTTTACTTTCTGGACAATGCCTGAAATATTTCCCAAATCTGTGGTGGTTTTGACCATTTAAATGACCATAGTATGAAATTCGGTAAAGCAAAATAAATAATGGTATTATGAACCTCTTTTATTTCTTTCATAATGATTTATTTTTCTACCCTTGGCCATTATGGGATTATACTTATACAGGTAATGGATCTTAAATGTTGACGAGGAAAGAAGTAATGTCATCTGAATTCACAGAGTGGTACCTAACTTTACCACACAGCAGCACCCGTCCATTTTATTTGATAGGATCATGTACCATGTCATGACATAAGGAATCCTGCTATTGTGTGTAGTAATAGATTTTATCTTTATCAGGGACATTAACTCTAATGATTCTATTACCACGTTTCTGGAAATCTCTTCCATACCTCATTTCTAGACAAACAGAAAAATAAGAGAGCAAAGACACAAAAACCTCATAGTTATTGTAGTCCTCTTTTATTGAAGTAATTTTTTTTTAGAAGTTTTATAGGGGTTATATCTCTATACAGTATACACAGAAATTGGGGGTTTTCTGAAATAATGACTTAATACAGAGTATCTCTATATCTGGACTGGTTTTTAAAAAAAAAACTTTGAAGACAATAAACCATAAAAATTAATTCAGATGCAGCATTTGATACATAGACTGATGATTAACATTTAGCCCTGCTTCTAACCCTCAATAAGATGTTATCATTGTTATGTACACTACTGCAATAAAGCAGATGAAATGTCCCCAAATCTTCAATGTATGGGAATGATCTGACCAGTAAAGCTGTCCTAAAAATATTTTCTTAAAATAGATATCTGATGACATCATTCTGGACATCTATGTCCTGAGGTCTTGTAGATCCCAGGTAAATCTAACACCTGTGTGGGAGTAGAACCTGGCTGCCTGTTTTTCAGATTATTGATGTACCTGTCATTGCGGGTCTACACCAGCCCTAGCAATAAACTCTCCAGTACTTTGTCTTTCTGTCACGCTGGACCATGTACATAGTACAGTCCGTACTTCTCTAGGGAAATATTGGGACCACCATCATTGTGACTTCATCTTATTTATCTATACCAAACATAACATGAACATGGGCAACACTAGGTTGAAAGTCATTTAAACATTTAGACAAATAGAATAAAATCTTTGTTTCACATTGAGCATGAGTACAAACAAAATTTATCAAGTGAAAAAAATCAAGGACCCCCCCCCCCTCCTTTCACCAATACTCCCAATAACCGACTTGTAATTTAGAATGAAAAAGATGATATAACCAAGTTACAGGTAGTGTTATCAATCTAAAAAAGATAGGTTATGAATACAAATTGTAAACAGGGCAACAAAAAGAAAAGTATCTCTGGAAACACTACAGATCGTGTCTGATGTCTAATTCTATTTGTAGGAAGATGGAAAATCTTTGGCTGTTAAGTGGAAGATCCAACGTACGTTCTTCTCCCAGATAAATACAATGTACAATCAGATAATTCAGGAGTGGACGGGATTAGGAAGTTAGGAAGTCATGAATTGGGCCCTAACAAGTGACCACACTTTGGCGGACATGGCCTTTCTGTTTAAACACTGACCAGAGATAAAGTCAAAATAAACATTGATTGGGTGACCTCTTGACCAGGTCAACCTCTTAACACGGGAGGGGAAACATAGATTATAAACAATACATCATGGAATACACAAGAAAATATCTACCCACCACTCTTAGCCGTACTTGATCAAGGTTTTTTTAAGCAGTTCTGAACCCCAGAAAGTGTGAAAAGAGATGTCTTATCTAAGATGTTCTTGAGAACTTGTATATGACCATGTCAACTTTAAGCACTTACAAGTGTAGTAGGTTGTAAAAACATTATGCCATTCAGACATAGCATTGATAAGGCTACTGTCAATAACTTCATAGCCCTAGCACCTCTGACAAATCTATTGTAAATTTTTTTTTTAATCTATTGTAAATCTCTCTTCTGCTGAAGTTTTCAGAAAAGGCCAGTAAGCTAAGAGTTATTTGGGGGATCAACTGTCTTGTAATATTGATATTTTCTTTAAATAAATTAAATTTATTGCGTCTCATTTCTTATAAAGAAATCTGAATGGAATCCCACTGTGGCTGTGGCCTGGAACAAAACCCAGTCTGAACACAGGTGGCAATTAAATTTGGTTCTAGTGTGGAAGGAAGTCCAGCCTTATGTGGTAGCCTAGTTTGTGTTGTGGTCTTACCTGGTGGCATCCAGCTTTGGTTGTGGCCTGCGGACGACCTTCTTGGCTGCTCCCTTTGATAAATCCTTCAATCTGGACAACACTTCTGCACTATTTTCTGCAAATGAGGAAGAAAGATTTAATCTCACAAAAAAATGCTACCAAACCTTCATACAAGTACTGATTACTTTTATTGCATGTTATACTAGACACAAGTTTCTTTAATAACAATATGCAATATGTTGCCCTCTCTTTCAATTTAACATGAATCAATGCATGCATTGACTACAGAAAATGTGATTTTATTTGCAAAATGAAAACAGAGTCAAAGAAGTTGAACTTTTTAATAATGAAAAAAAGTAAACTAGTCTACTGGCACCTTCAATAAGAATAAAATGCTACACATATAAGGAAAGAGATGTTCCCCTACCATCATTCTCCTCCCCATCCTGTGTTCCTTCCACCCCCTCCTCATCTTGTGGGAGATCCGGCAGGGGCCCCACAGAGGGGAAATCTTCCTCTTCCTCAAAGATCTCACCCATATCTAAATCCACAGACTCCATGCTTTTCCTCTTCAAAAGCCTGCAATAGCAAAAGAATAAAATAAAATCAGTAAGAATTAGCATTCTTTGTCAGTTATATCCATTATCAAGGAGATTCTACATGACCAAAGCTTGTGAGCAAGTTGAATTCCGGAGACAAATGTTTTCTTACTTTGCTTCTGAATTGGTTCATTATTTGATAATTGCTACAATCTTTGATATGTGAAAGATAAGACTTTTCCATGTCAGCCAATAATAAAAAGGGTATATTGAAGATATGATCTGTAATCCAAAGTTAAGACAAAATTAGTGTACTTGTGTTTGGGGTATGTCCTAACTAAAATATCTTCCAAATAATTCCACTTTCCTTTATTTTCACCAGAAAATGATTAACTCATGATCTATAGAGACCATGATGACATGTATATAGTTCTAGAGAGTCACTTAAGCCTTTGAGATTAAATGAACATCTATGCTTGTCCAACATGGGCATAAAACAGAAGTTAATTAATAAACATGACTTTTCTATACTGAAAGGAAAAAGAAACGCAGGGTAGCATAATTTTCAATAAAAATTTGACCACATGACCTAAAATTACGAAAATTGGTCAGAAGGGAAATTTAGTTACTGTGCATCAAAATCAGTATTCAGAATTACTCAACCGTAAAATTTATGACGTCACGTAGGGAAAACGCTAAAAAGCCCAAAACACGTGCAATTTGATAACGACAAGTTTGTCAACAAATCTTGTTGCATTATTTGATGCATATGAGGTATGCACATCGTTTTTCAATAAGACATTATGAATTTATTGCAATCTTGGCACATTTTAAGGAAATTCAATGGGGTCTTGTTTTCGAATTGCTTAATTAATGAAAAGGGCAACAACGGTTTACTAAGTTGTCTCTTGTAAATTTTCCCCCATAAAACATTTTACCCGTTGTCAGAGAGGGTCTGGAGTGGTTTTCAATCAACCGTGACGATGACGATAACGCGAAACAGAGCCATGTTACGAGCGGATTATTCGTCCTGCCATCTCTTAAATCGCCACCTTACTACCACAAAAACAGCCATTTATAGAGAAGACGATTATAATCATTACATTCATACGAAATTTGAAAGAAAACAATTCCGCAATTTGGTTTTTTGAGCCAGTCAACTTACTGTTGTATTCCTCTCACTGGCGCATGCGCGCGCCGTTTGACTTATTTTTTTGTGTGGTTACCCATGCTAAATATAGTCAGGGTTTGAAAGATAAACACTCTGATGAAATACCATGCAAAGGAGAAATAAGACTATGACAGATGCACGAGATAGACATTGAAGATAATGAATGTTTTCGTCACTTTTGGAGGGTATCGTCATTTGAGCTTCAATAACTCATGAATAATTAGACAAAATCATATGTGAATTTGGTTATATCTTTTTGAAAGGTGGTTTTAAAAGTTATATAGGAAAACTTACAAGTATTTTAAAGAAAACAAATTTAATTAACCTCAAAAGTTTACCCTGCGTTTCTTTTTCCTTTCAGTATAGTTGTAACTATAGTCTCCTAATACAAATTGAATATCTCTCTTAAATAAAACAGTGTATACGAATACCCATACATATAGACTAAAATAAAATACCAACTTTGAGGTGGAAAAACTATTAAATTTTTAATTGAAAATTAATCAGAGAAAATAACACATGATTGGTTGGCAAGTAGAAATTTTGTAAGATTACTAGTCAATAAAATTTCAGCCTGTTTCTTTGAAATCTATATAATTTTTCAAATGTCCTTGATTGTATTCAGTTAATCCAGCTGCATTTGTTTCAAAAAATTGTTTGTCATTTACACTTTCTGCCTACATGGTTTATGTTATTTATGCTGCATTAAATTTTTGGCAATATTTTCTTTTTCTGTTTGACAAACTCTGACCCATATTGTTCATGACTGGAAGGTATGGGTTTTTTGGAATTATACTTCAAAAGAGGGTAAAAAAAATCTACATAAATGGCTTTCCTACATGTCTAAGGACTTGTGTTGAGGTTGAGAGCCATGCAGTCTCACTATAAACAACCATGGACTTCACAAATGACTTTGACAGGTCCAAAGCTCCAATTGTAACCCATGAGCTTGACATACTGTATAATCCCTATTAACCGCCCCTGCCCCTATAAGCGCCCCCTTAGGTATTTTCCAATTGTCAGGAAATAAGGGCCCCCTGTACAATGATTAAAATCAAAAAGAATGGTATCAAAAAATTGAAGAAAGTGAAAATGAAACTTGTATATTACCCAATATCTCGGTGGAAAATGAATAATTTAGCATAATTTGGGTGGAATATCTTCACTTTAAGTAAAGTTAGACATTATCTTAGTGGTTTTTTGTATTTAACTTTTTTTTCAAAAGATTTTTTGAAGTTAAAATAGGACATTAAATACATTTGTATCATAAAAAGAATACCAAAATAACTGCCTCCTTTTTGCAATTTTCTAAGCGCCCGGGGCAGTTAATAGAGATTATATGGTATTCTAATAACCTTGACATGAAAATCTGATTAATATGACACTGTCAAGAGCTTTTAAGTATTAAGCTTATAAGTTGTGACACAGAAATGAAAGGACACAGAATTAATGCTTACAGCTTTTCCCACAAACAATAAATAATAAATATATATTTCAACTAGTCCAAAATTATGTATTTTAAAATGTTGCTGCAATATAAATAACAGTCATTTATCATTTGTCCAAATCTACACTTTATATAGGCTGTCTTTTTAAAGATTTTTTTGTATAAAATAGCCATGCCAAAATAGGTTTTAAAACTATTTTTTTGAAAGGTTCCTACCGTTTAAGTGTGTAAGGCTCCGCCATGGTTGTTTAACTATTTGTTATATTCATGTCCACTGAAAATATTTAGTAATCAGCTAAGTTATGTAATCATGGTCAAGTGCTGGTCAGAGAAACCAATCAAAACATCCCATGTCGGACTGATCCAAAAATAGAATACGGGAAAAAAACTTGCTTTAAAAATAATACAAATCTCACAAAAATCCCTTAAAATATGTTGCTGTCAATGGAAGAAGTATAGTAAAATTTCTGTTGCTGATTTTAAATCCTTGGTGTCTATAATTGTTACATCTGTAAAGTACACAGTGTGAGAGGATTAAACCCCAGATGATTCATTCACAAACAAAACACAAATATCTCTGAAGCTTTGTTCCAAAAATTTTAATCCTCCTCCCCCTCCTTAGAATGGACAAGACAAAAAATATCTAATCCTCTCAGAATGCCACTGACCACCCAGTTATGTGACTGGACAGAAATTGATTGACTCCCAGACAGCCAATAACCAAGTCTGGAATATATTTATAGCAGGTCAAGATGACCCCCTATGCATGGTCATCATAAATAAGGTCAGATACTTTAGTACATAAATAAACAATAAAGCCTACTCTTACAATGTGTGACACATTCAATATCAAGAGAAAGGGAAGATATTGTATTTGTCACAGTGGACAATGCATATATATAATAAATGATTTAAAATGATAAATGGTTTATAATTAATATCTGCACTAAATTCACACCATTGCATCCAGTCAAGTGGTGGATCCAACATTTTTCAACATTAAAAAAATACAGGAAAGAAGCTGCTCAAGATACAAAAGACACGAAATGAATACCTTAAATATATATAAAATCTGACTCAGAAAATGCTGAAAATAAAATTTCCAATTTCATGTATAAAATTTAAGTTTACACCTCATTGACTTTCTATCTAAATATACATAAGAAGATACTGCAGGTCAAGTAGACTTCTGTTTATTGATAATTTATTTGACAGGCCTATAAGGAAATCAAGGCCCTGCTGTATCTATTATTAATTTATAAATCATTCTTATAAATCATTCTTAATTAACACTATCCTGGGTTTTGAGTCATAAATCCAAGGGAAAGTAATCTATCTAGCTTACAATTTTTGAACAGGGCTAAAGTGCAAAGCATTTTCCTTTTTTTGAAAAACGACTTTGAATTCAAAGAATAACTTTATCTTCTTAAATAACAGAGCTCAATACTGGGTCCTGAACCCAGGGGCCATGAATATTACCAAGTTGATAAATGACTGAGTACTCATTGAAGTGTTGCAAAGTACATGTAATGGAGGTTTAATGTAATCTTAAGATATAATCAACGTAACCTCAACTTGGTCCTGTTAAAACTCTGGTATACAGATTTCAGTAATTCACAATACATGTATAATATTGCAGTTTGTAAGCCATATGTCCAAGAGTTAAACAAACAATTTTCAAAGATGTAAAACACCCTATTCCAATATATATCATTATGAAGCCTGAAGCATTATGAAGAGTAATTTTTTTTTTACCCTCTCATAATTTTGTCTTTTCTTGATAATCTCCCCTTATAAGGGGGCTTTGCCCTTTATCTTAACAATTTAAACTCCCCTTCACCAAAGGATGTGTCACCAAGGTACAGCTTTGTTGTTCTTGAGAAGATTTTTTAAACACCCAATTTTATGTTAACGCCCCCAAAATCTACCTGATTCAAGATCAATAATTTACCGCCTGTCAATCATTAAAAAAACAATAGCTTCTGATTTGATTGACAGGCCAGCTACCCGTGCTACCTGATGGTCTGAGTTTGTGTGTTTTGAAAACGATTGCCGGGTCACGCGTCAAACACTTTCATGTAGCCGCCTTGTATACACGGGGTTTAAAAAAAGAATCTTGGTAAAATTTTATTTTAAAAACAATTGAGAGTAGATAATTAAAACATAACTTCATAAAATATTTGCTTTTAATCTCAACGGCTACATTGTATTTTAGGCGATATGTCGTCCAAGATATCTGCTCTGTAGAATTTAGACCAGTCCGTGCACAGAAACGCTAATTGCCGATTAAAATTGAAATATGATAAATAAGAAAAGATATTTACACAAACGGCACGGATAAAAATTCATTTTTCCCATGTTTTATCTACGTATATATGAATACAATCTAATCTATACCATTTTCCGTTGTAAAGTTCTGAAA